GGAATTTATATATATATATATATATATATGTATATGGGGGGGGCCTGTGCCCCAGTAAAGCCTCAAGTCTAGCAACGCCCCTGGTATTTAGACTTCAACTCTTGATATTTGGAATTCACAGCTTTAATAGCAATTCACTGCCATTCATAATGTAAAAGCAGATGTATAGGCATTAATCTTAGTGATAAGTACATTTTAAGCTCATTTACAAATAAACTGCACCTCTCAAACAAAATATTAAGATGTTACATTAGCTACAAAATATATAAACAAATACTGTGCTTACTGTGGATCAAATAGGCTACATGTTTGTCCCCTTTTTATATCACCTTTAAACATGCGTCATACCGTATGTCCCCTGTCAACGTGGACGTGGACCTGGACTGGGAGTCCCAGGAGTACCTGGAGGCTCTGGCTCAGGCCACAGCAGAGCTGGAGTACTGCATCAACCTCTGCAAGTCCCGCATCATGATGGAGACTTGCTTTGACATCACAGTGGTGATGACTAATGTCGCACAGGGAGGTGGAGGTCTGAGACCAGAACTGGGTAGCATACCGCAATCAGCCCCTGTGGCCACTTGTGGTACTGCAACTCCACAGCCTTAGCACAGGTGGAGGGGGCATCTTCACCGTGCTCCTCAATTTAACTCATGGTTCTGGTCAACATTTTCCCCTGGTAACATGAAGGATGTGGTGTCTAATAGACATGGACAGCAGGACACATACCAAAGTCTCCTCAGGGGGGCGCTGCAAAGAAAGGCACAGAGAGGTGAACTGGAGTCAAACCTGTCCTCCTCCTCCTCCTCAGAGTCCTGAGTGACATGCAAACACAGACATGAAACATGTCGATGTGGTTCAGTGTGACTTGCGCGTCTGAGGACAGTGGTGGAGACGCACTGACTACGTTGTGACAGAACGGCAGGACCAGCCTGGAACTGACGTCACAGCATCTGATGAGCTTACACAGGGCATTGTTCAACTTCCTGTCCTCACTGGCTTCTCAAACAGGCTGACATGTTTCCATCTGTCAGATTAGCAAAGACGTGTGTGACTGTCAAACACTCTGAACAGGACGCAGGGAAACCTGATGATTGATGAAGGGAGGATTTATCATCCTGAGGATGAAGCTCATCTGTCACCGCAGTGGAGAAAACAAACAGCTGCTTCATTCATTCAAAAAGCCATGAAAGAAATGACAATAAACTAGGTTGACATCTAGCCTGTATATTTAAACAGGTGATGTTCAGATCACTCAACACAAATTCATATATATTGTAAGTTGTGTTTATTCTTTCCTATAATTCTAATTATTTAAATTTACTCTTCTCTCTGATAAGGAGCTATGCCTCGCTTTTGTTTTGATTGGGGGAGATGGTGCAGGTTGCCAGTCTTTCACAGGGCTGACATGTAGACAAACAACTACACACACACTCACTCCTGGGGGTAATTTAGAGTCTCCAATCAACCTAAGCTGCCGGAGTACCCGGAGAGAACCCACACACACACACAGGGAGAACATGCAGACATATTTTCCCAGTGTCATCTGGGACTGCCATACTATGACACTGGCGTTATCTTTTTTCTGAAGGTAAAGCGTTTGGAGATGGCTCTACCCACAGTGGGATGAAGCCGGAGTACCCGGAGAGAACCCACACACACACACAGGGAGAACATGCAGACATATTTTCCCAGTGTCATCTGGGACTGCCATACTATGACACTGGTGTTATCTTATTTCTGAAGGTAAAGCATTTGGAGATGGCTCTACCCACAGAGGAGAAGAATGTGGAGATGGTGTGAGGCTTTGTTTTTGTCAGGTACTTTCTGATAGAAGAGGCTATGCTTTTTCCAACTTCTGGGTTCTTTGAATACATGGCAACCACTAGATGGACTGGATAGCTCCACCTCTTGCATAGGTCCTTGTAAATAGTTTTTGTGAGGATTTTTATAGTTCCAGGGGGGATAGGAATATCCATGCCCTTGACTTCCTCCCATGTTTTTTCCAGCAGGTGTTCAATGAGAGCTTCTGAGATTAGACTGTCTTTCATTTTTGCCTTTTTGGCTGTCCGTACAAGGAGATTCTCCACAAGAATCCTGACAACTGCTTTGTTTTCGTGGCCCAGCCTGGAACTGACGTCACAGCATCTGATGAGCTTACACAGGGCATTGTTCAACTTTCTGTCCTCACTGGCTTCTCAAACAGGCTGACATGTTTCCATCTGTCAGATTAGCAAAGACGTGTGTGACTGTCAAACACTCTGAACAGGACGCAGGGAAACCTGATGATTGATGAAGGGAGGATTTATCATCCTGAGGATGAAGCTCATCTGTCACCGCAGTGGAGAAAACAAACAGCTGCTTCATTCATTCAAAAAGCCATGAAAGAAATGACAATAAACTAGGTTGACATCTAGCCTGTATATTTAAACAGGTGATGTTCAGATCACTCAACACAAATTCATATATATTGTAAGTTGTGTTTATTCTTTCCTATAATTCTAATTATTTAAATTTACTCTTCTCTCTGATAAGGAGCTATGCCTCGCTTTTGTTTTGATTGGGGGAGATGGTGCAGGTTGCCAGTCTTTCACAGGGCTGACATGTAGACAAACAACTACACACACACTCACTCCTGGGGGTAATTTAGAGTCTCCAATCAACCTAAGCTGCCGGAGTACCCGGAGAGAACCCACACACACACACAGGGAGAACATGCAGACATATTTTCCCAGTGTCATCTGGGACTGCCATACTATGACACTGGTGTTATCTTATTTCTGAAGGTAAAGCATTTGGAGATGGCTCTACCCACAGAGGAGAAGAATGTGGAGATGGTGTGAGGCTTTGTTTTTGTCAGGTACTTTCTGATAGAAGAGGCTATGCTTTTTCCAACTTCTGGGTTCTTTGAATACATGGCAACCACTAGATGGACTGGATAGCTCCACCTCTTGCATAGGTCCTTGTAAATAGTTTTTGTGAGGATTTTTATAGTTCCAGGGGGGATAGGAATATCCATGCCCTTGACTTCCTCCCATGTATTTTCCAGCAGGTGTTCAATGAGAGCTTCTGAGATTAGACTGTCTTTCATTTTTGCCTTTTTGGCTGTCCGTACAAGGAGATTCTCCACAAGAATCCTGACAACTGCTTTGTTTTCGTCCACCTGCAGTGTGATGTCCTCCACAGGTTCAGCACACATGTTCTCCCGTTCTGATGGCTCACCATCATATACAGGGTCCTTGCATTCTGACGGCTCACCTGTTGCTAAAGATGGGGCGTCCTCACATTCTGATGGCTCACCATTTATTTCATATACAGGGCCCTCCCATTCTGATGGCCCGCCATGTAATACATATACAGGGTCCTCCCATTCTGACGGCTCACCTGTTGCTAAAGATGCGGCGTCCTCACATTCTGACCGCTCAACTTCGTACTGCACAGTTTGCAAAATCAGATCCCTAAGCCTTGTGGTACCTGGCCTGACTCATCATCCACCAGACCATCAGTGTCACGAAAGTGTGTATTTTGTCTTCTATGTCAGCATACAGGGCAGCAAGTGACTCTGGGAGACTGGCTTTCCAATCTGTTGGCTTTTCTTTACCCGTAATATGTTTATAGAGGACACCACTAAGTTGCATTACAACATGACAAAATTCACGGTATGGTGGGTATGTACAATTTTTGGTCAAAATAAAAGCATCTTCTTCATCCTTCTTCACGAAAATCAGAGGATCAATATCATCCACGAGTGACTGGATTGATTCCCTGCTTTCGGCCAAAGAGTCACGATGGCATTCCATCAGCTGAGCCAGGATGCGATATATTAATGTTCTGGCAAACAGCTTTGCAAAGAAGTTTTTTGTCTTGACTTCAGTGCTGTCCACAGTCATTCTGGGCCACTCTGGGTACTCTGGGTGTTCTGGGCTTTGTCCTGCAGCAATAGAGTCTTTCAGTCTCTGAACATGTCCAGCAATTAACTGAGATATGTCTTCAGCAACAGCTTTAATCTTCAGAGAACAGTCCAGTTGTAGCAGCTCATACTCATGGTCTGGCACATCTCTCAAAAGGTTTTCTGTCATGTGTTCCACCCCCAGGCCTAGTGCTTCCCCAATCTCTTGAGTTCTCCTCTCAAGGAAAGCCTCTTGAAGGTTAGTTAATTGGCTTTTCCTGAGCGTGTCCGGTCTGTACAGCTCGTCTGTCGTGTCGCTAGATACCCCCGCTAACACAGTACAGACATGGCCAATCATCTCATTTAGTGCATCAAGCTCAACCATAGGACAAATTACAGATGACTCAGAGTCCTCCATCCTGTCCGAAGTTACACAATATATGACGCTTTGAATTTCGTCAGAAATCAGGTGTACAAGGTGTACTATGCTGGCACGTTGTAATTCACTTAGCTCCTTGTTGTCCATGAAAGAAGAACAGATCTTAGTGAGCGTTCCAGATATAATGGACTGAAGCTGTTCATGAGTGATATTCTCTGTGTTCATTTCAGCCATTATGTAGTTATGTGACAACATTTTTATAATATCTAAAATCAACTCTGCAAGCAAAGATGCAGTGGCAACACTGTGAATGTCGCAGATACGCCGTCCTTTTCTTAAAATCAAATTAGTTTTAGTCACGCACTCAAACAGGGATTCAGTCCGCCAGACCAGAACATTGACTATATTGATGTCCACATCTTGTGATGTTTCTTTGAAATATATCATATTTTTTTCATACCCTGCCATTTCTTCAGGCCCTTGGCTTGATGCGACTTGTTAAATATTGTTCAAAACAGATAGTGAGGCACTCAGTCAGTCGTGCTGTCTGTCCAGTGTTGAGTTCCTTTGATCATTACGTCAGCTCTACAACGGTTGCTGAGCGTTTGCTTGTGCGCACGCCTGGCACCGGTTGCCATGTGAATATATTAGACTTCAGCAGTAAAGCCTCAAGTCTAGCAACGCCCCTGGTATTTAGACTTCAACTCTTGATATTTGGAATTCACAGCTTTAATAGCAATTCACTGCCATTCATAATGTAAAAGCAGATGTATAGGCATTAATCTTAGTGATAAGTACATTTTAAGCTCATTTACAAATAAACTGCACCTCTCAAACAAAATATTAAGATGTTACATTAGCTACAAAATATATAAACAAATACTGTGCTTACTGTGGATCAAATAGGCTACATGTTTGTCCCCTTTTTATATCACCTTTAAACATGCGTCATACCGTATGTTCTTCTCTGGGGTGTAATTATCTTTGGTAAAACAAACAAATCTATTAAATTATACCAAAAGAGGCTAGTGATAATAACCGAGCAATCAACGATCGCTGTACCGTACTGTCGCCACTAGAGGCGCATCCCGGGATTCCCCTCACATGTGCAATCATCATCTTCCTCACGAATCATAACAAAGGTAATCACACAAAGTTGTGGTCTGTTGCGAAAGCTGTTAACTGAATGTGTCCTTGAAGAGCTCAGGCAACTCTGGTAGTAACAAAGACATTTTTTAACTGCAGGGATTTTAGGTACGAAATGAGCTTACGTGTCAATGCTTTCAAGTGACGTCAGGAAAAATGGGAACTACAGAAATGTTACTGGTCAAAAAATAGTATTTATTCATACGCTGTTTAGTCTGCCTATGATTTTTAATGCAGTTAACATGCACACATTTATTTGAATATTCTAAATAAATTTGTGTAGATAAATAGCCTATTTATTAACCATATTTATATTTCCACTGTTTTATTGTGTGACGCTCAAAATAAACAGCTTAATTCCGATTCTCACCCAGATATACAGCTTTTAAAAAAGTAAAGAAAATACATTGTGAAGATGAGACACTATCCTTCCCCTATTTTAACAACTGTGGGCCTATTAAAAAATAAATTAAAATTTGATATTACTATTGGAAATTGAGTCCTGAATGGGTGTTACCAAAAACATAAAATATATTCAAATGAAATATGCTACAAGTATTTTTAAAGCCTATTGTTTGATCGTTAGGCCTATTAATCCCTAAGTGGGGGTATTTGTCAGCACTTTAATTTGTGTAGACTGGTTATTTTATTTTATTTATTTATTTTTGTTGTTTAGTTTTTCCAACAAGAAATGTTGTCCAACAACTGTCTTGTAAGTTATTGCTTATAGCCTAGTCTCTTTCTGTAATATTTATAAAAACAAAAGAAAAACGGAGGATAAAACTGTCACCCCCTCTGAGACCTTAATTTCGGAGGAGTACGTGAAAGCATCGTAGGACTGAAGTTTCCGGTGTGTCCACCAGGGGGCGCAGCCCGGGGAGGTTCAATCCGGACCATTTACCCGACTTCTCCTCGTACCATGAGCTGTATCTGTCCGGGACAGACCAGGGAAGATGGCGGCCACTGACCATTCCCGGTCCGAAGCGGCCAAACAGCGTCGGCAGGATCAGCTGCAGCGATGGCTGGGCTCAGAGACGGATCGGACGAGATCGGAGGCCCGAGAAACCTCAAGCGGTTCCGGGACGCGGCGCTCGAAAGTACGGTTCGCCCAAGGAGCCGTGTTTATGGCCGCCTGCTCTGCCGGAGACCGGGAGGAGGTCGCAGCGCTGCTCCGACAGGGAGCTGATATCAACCATGCCAATATAGACGGACTGACAGCGCTTCACCAGGTAAAAAGTTTAACGTTACCCCTCAACTGTCAACTACTTTTGTCGGTGAGTTAACCGCGGAGTCGCTGCTAACTGTCGCTCACCTCGCCGACACGGTTTGTCCGTCAGTCGTCCTCAGCGACGAGGCTTTAACGGGAAGTTGGAGATTAAATTTAGCAGTTAACCATAGTATAAACATTTGAATTGCTCTGAACGTAGCAGCGCATATACCTTATCACTTTATCGTCTCTGAGTTTGTTTTGTTCAAGTCCCAGCAGCAGCACTTCTGGCCTGCACACAGACTTCATTATCCAGCTGGTAGGCTGGGTCATCTGCACGGTTCTATTTACTAAGTTATAGGCTTCTTTTTCTGGTAGGAGGGTAGCTGAGAGCAGCAGACAGTAAAAACCGGTCAGTTGAGAGCCTGTGGGATCATTTTTGACACATATTACACACTGACTGCCATACTTGTGACAGACGGTCCCTGATGGAGTCTCGGTAAAATACAGGGTCATTGAATTCAGGAAAGTTTTCATCATCTGATCTACACATTTCTAATATTTTTCTCATGAAGAAAAACACAAGGGAGCCTGTTGATTACCACTCTCAGCAGGACAACATTGTCAGGAGGAGTGTGGTTTAACCTGTATGTTTTTAACTGCAGTTTGTGGATGTCCCAAATAGGCTGCGCTGCCTCTTTCAAAGCATGCTGCAGTCTCAGTGTGGCCCAGCCTTGAGGGCCCTTCCTCCCCTTGACTTCAGTCATATCACACAGGAGAAGTCTGGACAACATCACTGTCGCACAAGCCCTCGGATTTCCTCTGCTTTTATGATCCCTCATCATAAACACATTGCTGCCTCTTGATCTCACAGTCGGATGGATTTAGCTTTCATATCTAAGCATTCTTAAATGTTGTGCTTTTTATTTTCCAGATCGCAGGAGCTGTCTGTATGTGCACACTGATGTCATGTTCAGCGGTGGTTGGTGTTTTCCCTCTAGTTTAAGCCAGTGTTATGTATTTGGTGATGTAGCCTTCCTATGACCAGCTCAGATGAGTGACTGAGTATGTATGTGCCCTCTTGTGGTCGATCGACGTGTTGAACCGTCACCTGGTGTGGTCCCTCTCCTACCTTCAGTCTCTTTCCCCCTTTGCTCATTGGTTGCCCAGCAACCTGAATTAAATATAGGCCCACATTCTCCAAACTTTCCATCCTCTCCATCCAAATCCTTTCTGTCTTCTCCACTACTCTTTCGCCCTTATTTGCCTCTCCCTCGTCTCTCCTTCCTTTTGCCAGTTCCCCATGGAGTAGAGTTTTGGGATTTCGGATGAAGAAATGGAAAACATTCCTCAAACAGCGCAAGCAGCTGTTGTCAAAGGCGATTTCCACAATGAGTCACTTGATGACCCAGTGAAGGAGTCTGCTTAGAGGCTGTGTGTGCACCCTCATAACGCACAGGCAAGAAGTGCCCCTCTGTCCATTCATTCAGTTTGTGGCACCCACTTGATCAGCGGGCTCTCCCCTGTGCTGTGAGAAAACGCTGCCAGGCTCTGGCCCTGGAGCGCGCTCCGAGCCCCGTCTTACGATGACCATGCTTTTGTTTTTTCCACCATACTCCCTGACTAATGATCTCATGATGAAGGAGGGAGGAGATGTGTAGCAGCTTTGTGATTAGTTGATTGAGCCCAAAAGCAAAGCCTTTTAGGTGGCTTATGGTGGGCTTGATAGACAAGGTTGTGTGCAGCTACAGACGCTGCTGTGACATTCTGAAAATCACTATGATAATAGTGAATAACTGAAAACACCGTCACATTTGAGATTGTAGTCTTTTTCCGAGCAGGTGTCACCTCAGATGCTAGTGATAAAATCGGACATAGAAACGCATACATGAAGCAACGTATGAAAATAAGAAGATAAGCTTGATATATATATATTTTCCTGCTGGTGTACACTGCAAGATCTTCTCAAGTATTTTCAGTCATAGCAGCAGTATGGTAGTGTCAGTCAGTCCAGAATTCCCAAGTCTTGGCTCTAATGTATCTGTAGTACTGATCAATAAATACTGCATGGTCTCTGTGAGCATATTGCAATATTAGCATAGCATTTTGCTCAAGTCCCTCCTGTGTCTTAGTGCAGTTCAGCTTCGCCTACCCACTAGCGTGACTGTAAACTCTTGTTTTTGTTTGTAATTGACTCCTGAAACCATTATTATCTTCCAACAAATGATGATGCTTCCTGTGCGATTAGTGCTAGATTGGTGAACTAACAGAACATAATCAATTTTCTAAAGTGATTAAGTCATTTATGAAACAAATGTGCCCAATGAGTTCTGTTTCCAGCATCAGAAGTGTGAGGATTTGAAGCTTTTTGTGATTTATATTGGGGCCATTAAACAGTCTTGCAGACAATATAAGCACTATGATGGCACTACAGACTCACTGGAATTAGTAATAGTCCTTAGACAATCTTGGTAGAACAGTGGTCGGTGTCAGTGGTTGGACCACTGAGCAGACCCGGTTCTCAGAGGTGACTGCCATTCGGGCCAGCCACTGCTCGACCTGAGCAAATACAGTGCAGATGCTGTGTGAAACCACATAATCTGCTCTTTGCTTGGGTGAGGATAGGGATCAGCGATGCTCTGTGCTAAAGGTAGGTTAGGTCTGGAAAATGGTTTTGCTTATTGTGGGTATCTGAAGATCTGTGACAGCTTCGCCTTACACCGCCCTCTCTGGGGCCGAATAATGGGTAAACATCATTTAACTCTTATACCGAGCTCCCATATGAATGCTCTCCCATTCTTTGGGCCATTTAATTGTGTATTATTGACTCTTACCTTGAATTTACAGTACATTTGCTTCTGTTTTTAAAATAAATAATCACTTAATTCTAGAAATGAGATCAGAACTAGTCCAAAACTCTGACAAATACACTCACCAGCCACTTTATTAGGTACATCTGTACAATTGTATGCAATTCACTGCAACACTTCTGCCTCAACATCTGTGTTTATGAAGCTCAAAATGTTTAAGTTTTTGGTGAGATTGTCATAATTATATAAATTCAATTATATGTTTATTATTGAGGCCATAGTTAAAGGTGGTGTTGTACTGGACTACATTATATTCAGAGGTGTTCCTAATATTCTGACCCTCATGTATGTAACCGGAGAGGACAAAAATATAGAGACGTCTAAATATAATGTCCAGTACAACACCACCTTTAACTATGACCTCAGTAATGAAGATATATTCTTAAAATATGTGTGTTGAAATCATCTCAGACCTTTATTGCAGTATGAAAAAAGGATCTTACACAGACCTTCCCTCTGAGTTGTTTCTCATGAAATATTAGCTGACATTAAAACAGCCTATCATAACATAATGCCATGAGATCCTCATGGGATTCATCTTGGGACCCCTGTTGGATCAAATTGGGATTATGGGCTAGACCTCGCCTCAGGAAAAGCAGTTAAATAGATGTGTTGTTTCACTCGCATCACAAAATGAGTGTTTTGGAAAGTACTTGAGGGCATTTAGAAGCCTGCTTAACAGAAAGGCATTACCTCAAGCAGATGCAGTAGACATTGTTTTAGCCTCTGCGCTTCAGTTGGCTTTAAAAGATGTTGAAAGTGTCTGGAGTTTTGCTTTTCACAACAAACTGAAACGAAGTCGGCTGAAGATCTTCTGTGCTGAAACGGTGCTCTACATGTCGTGTGCAATCTGGTTTCTATTTTTTAATGTCTGTAGTGGGAATTCTCACAGTAAACACCCAACAATAAACACTTTATAGCAGTGCATCATGTGGTTGTGTGTCCTCTGGCAGGCCTGCATAGATGAAAATGCTGAGATGGTTCAGTTTCTGGTGGAGAGCGGGAGTGATGTCAACAGAGGGGACAATGAGGGCTGGACTCCTCTGCACGCTGCAGCGTCCTGCGGCTTCATCCAGATCGCTAAGTAAGTGTCGGCCATCACTGCCACAGGAATTTTGAAAGCCCCAAAGTATCAGGCCTACATTGAATCTGAGTCCATTCAGAAGTAAACATTGCAGAGGGATGGACAGGACGGTGAGGTCAGTGTTTACATTTTACCGAGCACTGATTGACTCTGTTCCTGTTCTCTGAAGATACCTGATAGAGCATGGCGCTTATGTTGGAGCAGTGAACAGTGAGGGAGAGCTTCCTCTGGATGTGGCCACAGAGGATGTCATGGAGAGGCTTCTCAAAGCTGAAATCAAAAAACAAGGTGAGGAGTCGCTGGGTGGCAACTGCTTCTCAAATGTGATGATTTGCTTCTTATGCTCCATTAAGATTATTGAACGAATACATTATTGATGTACTGTAATATTTTTTGACTCTTCTGATATACATTTAATGCTTTTTGGTCAGTTTCTAGATGCCAGATGTTGCACTTCTTTTAGTTTATTAGATATTCGTAAAGCAAAATAGTTTTACTGTTTTCTGGTATTTCAAACTAACATTGTTCTACTTTCAGTGACATGTATCAGAAATCATTCAGTAAGGATGCACCGGTATCAGGTATCAGGTCCGATACCATCTTCTAGTACTTGTACTCATAACAGCTGTCCGATACTATGCACCAATACCACTTAACAGCTGCAATACATTAACCTCAAGCAGGCTGAGCCAGTCACTAGGTAGTGGAGAAAATTTCAGTGGTTTGTGGATATTTTAAGATAAGTGATGACGACAAAAGTAAAACCGACTATGAGCTCTGATTCTCTGTGGCTCTGCGACAGGGTAATTTGGTGTTTAGGGTTACTGTCCTGCTGCTTCACTTGTCTTCTAAGCTTCAGCTGGTGGACAGCCACCCTGAGGTTCTCCTGTAAGATAACTTGAAAAACGTCAGAGTACATTTTCTCTTGTGAAGTGTTGCGTGGGGAGTGTCCAGATGCTCTTTTGCAAACGGTCACAGCACTAGATTGTCTCCATTTATAGACAGTTTGTCCAGCAGCGGACTGATGAATATCTGAATTCTTTGAGGTTATTTTGTAACCCGTTCCCAGTTCTTGATCATAAGTCTTCTGAGAGCTCTTTTATTGTGAGCAGCAGATGCTTCTTGTAAATAACACTTATATTTTTTAGGAGTAGAATCCAGGGGCGGATCTAGAAAATATTTAGGTGGGGTGGCCAGGCTGGGGCACAGAATTGGAGAGGGGTCACAAAAAAGCTAATTGAACCCCTAAATGTATTCTCCTAACTGTACAGCTCCAGAAATGACTTTGTATGTTTGTCCTGTTTTTATAAGGGGCCACATTTGAAGCATGCGTGTTGCTCAGAGCAGAAAAAAACTAGAGAAAGAACTGAGGACTAAATCTGTGTAGCAGCATTCTGAGGCTCCGGGCTTTTATCATTATCACTGTCAAATGCAAGTGAATCCTCAGGTGACATATCAAATAAGTATAGAATACTTTTTGTCCACACACACACTGATGTGAACACTTATGCAGTTTACGGCATACATTATAGATTTTATGGGCAGATGATTTTAAAGTGCAGTTTTTGCCTCTGTGTGTTTGTGTGTGCATAATAGGAATAGACGTGGACAAGGCCCGAAAGGAGGAGGAGAGGATCATGCTCCAGGACGCCATGGCAGTGCTGGCAGGAAGTGGCACTGTCACACCTCACCTAAACACCAAGGCAACAGCTCTGCATGTTGCAGCTGCCAAAGGCTATATCGAAGTCCTGAAGTGAGCATCAGTCCTCACGCATGGGAGCGATGACAGCTTGTTATGTGTCACGCGAAGTCAAACAGCTGTTATACAGAACTTTGTTCTCCATTCTCTTTCTTCTTGTTTCTCTTCATCACCTTGCTCAGGGTGCTCTTACAATGTGGGGTGGATGTGGACAGCAGGGACATTGACGGTTGGACGCCCCTGCATGCAGCGGCTCACTGGGGCCAGGAGGAGGTGTGCACCCTTCTCGCTGACAACATGTGTGATATGGGTGCCGTCAACAATGTGGTGAGCGGGAGACGAATGACCTTTCCTCACCATTAACTGTGTAACTGAAGCCTTTGCTCGTACCACAGCTGATCATACGCTGAATGTCCTTGTAGGGCCAAACTCCCCTTGATGTTGCTGATGAAAACCTCGTGGACACTCTGGAGGAGCTACAGAAGAAACAAAACGCTGTGAGTCTGCCTTCACACAGGCTCGGCGACTATCTCACTCTGTTAGATAAACCTGATCTGATTAATAGCGTTACAGCAGCGAATGTTCTCTATGTTTATGCGTGTTTATATTCCTCTTCAGTTACGCAGTGAGAAAGAGAAACAGGCTCCTGTTATTGAGAACAGTCCGCCAATCTCCATGGTACCAGGTCGCCCACGCAGGTCAGTGCCAGTGTGTTGGTGTGTGGGCATGTGTTTGTGTGTCTGTGTGTGTTATGTGGGTGCACGCTACGCTGTTCCTCAACTAAATCCCAGTAATTCCAGTACCAGTTGTATGCATGCAGGTGTCCCAGGATTTCTTTGAACCATGTTACTTCTGTCCACTGATACTGACCTGGATAGATGTAGCGGTCGGTGACATTCTGTGTCCTAGTCTCATACTAAATACTAACTGTACTTACTGTAGTACCTTCAAATACCAGCTGGCCTACTAAAATGTAGCAGTGTTCACGGACATTTTTGTTGTTCAACGAAATGTAACGCAAACAAAAAAAAGCAACTCTACCAGAGCATCTTTGCCATCATACAGGAGAACAACATAATGAAGAAATAAATTATTATTTGTATGTTTTCAATATGTATTTTGCATTAGTGTGAATTTTCTGCGACATCCACTGCCAGCCTGTTTATGGTTCAAACAGAAAGGACAGTAATCCCTGTTTTTGCTAATCCAGCAAATTAAATACCTGCTAAATCAACACACTGATGCAACAATTACCATAAAGATGTCCTGCTTATTAATTTGCAACATTAACCAACATGTTCTAATACTGTGTGTAGTATCGACATTGCTGATAATATAGTTATTGACTCAGTGGAGTTGGTACTGGTGTATATTTCTTCTGATTGACATTCTTGGTAGAATAGAACTTTAAGGGTAGGATTGGAAACTGATGTTACTTATTGTGGGGCCCTGAAGATTCATGATGGCATCCTCTGATAAAGCGTCATTATACAGTACACACTGCTTATAAATAGAATTTGAGTGTGTTGTGTTTTCATGCAAAAAAAGGAAATGCATTAATGCACTTTTAATTTGTACACTATTCTCATTTAATACAACATAAAATACTTACCTATAAGGTATAATTGGTAATGGCAATTACCAATTGATTCCTTGTAAACAAGCTGGAAACACACACTATGTGCAGAGTACCTGTATGTGTATTATGTACTCGAAAGATTATGTGCATACTGTATACAATTTAGTATGTGGAATTGGACACACCAATTGTTTTCCATTTGTGTGGATGCTCAGTTGCTATGTTATCCCTTAGGTTTGCATTGTCACATGTTGTAAAGGGTGTAAAATAAGTGATGTATGACAATACATTTTATTTGAGGATACATACAGCTAAATGCTGATCTACTGATAAGACAGCAGTACTACACATGGCATCACAGAGAATGACTCACTGTCCCACCTACTGATGTGTTGATTGATGCATGCTTGCTCTAATTGGCTGCACATAGAGTGATGCTCTCACTGATCAGCTACCTGCATGCCACCTGTTGTTCCACCCCACCTTGGCCCCACCCCTGCAGGACTTCTATCTCTCGTATGAGCAGTAAGGAAAAGATCTGCCTCCATGAGCGGGAGAAGCACCCACCTCCTGCCTTGCATAGCAGTCCAGCTGAGGAAGAGGAGGAGGAAGGTCAGACAGGACAGGGTCGGTCTCAGAGCCAGGCAAAAGCCTCCAGCAGCTCCAGCTCAGAAGAGGAGAGTGAATCTGAGAGCGATGCAGAGTCAGGTGAGGGCTGCTGTTTGTATTTGGAAGGGAGTCTGTGGTGTTGTTGCTGATAAATAATAAAGAGAAGTGTGTTTAAAAGTGACGACATGTTTTATGAAGTCAGGGTTTTATGATTTAGCTAGAGATTTATTGCTTATAGGCCTTTGTATGGTTGCAGAGAAAGCGAAAAACCGAGAGATCATCAACAACTTGAACAACAAACGCAACACCGGCAGCCTGCTTCCTACCTCCATGTCAACGAGCACTGCTGCAAGCCAAGTGAAAAAGGTCATTTCTAGAGATATATAATAAAAAGACAAGTTTGTATAAATGGCAATAAAGATGGTGACTTTTACGGGCTGCATAGCAGAAACCAATCAAGCCTGCAGCCACTGAGGCTCCAGGCTCCTGGAGAACGTCTCTGAGGAAGGCAGGCAGCTCGGTGACTCTGGGCTCAGCTGGACTGTCTGATGCCAGCCAGGACTCTAGCAGACCTCCAGAGCTGCGACTAGGCATGACCCGCTCTGCCTCCAGCCCCCGCCTCAGCTCTGGGGCTGACACCAAGGTACACACCACAGGCACTCGCATGAATCAGGGATTTATACACCAATGAAACCACTCCTATTATTATATAACTCTACCATGACAAGCCAAATAAAGGCTTCTTTTACGGCTCCCATCCACTGAGTCACATAAATAACTGATGAACTGATTTTAACCCCTGTTTTCAGGAGCCAAGGCTGGCTCGGGTACCACCCACTCCAACGCGGAGGCTTTTCAGTATTCCAGACAGCAGCTCTGACGGCTCCAACAGGTGGGCCTGTGCTCTCGCATGCTTCTGCACTTATGAAACCAGAATCTGTTTTTCTGAGTCACACCATATGTGCCCTTGTCACTCTGTCTCCCTCTCAGCTGGCTAAGCCATAGCTCCTCTTACACCCGGCGCCTTTATAGTCAATCAGGGAATGATATCACTAGTTCCACCCCCTATTTGCTTCACAGGTCAGTCACGCTGCTCACTGCCCGTCTTGTATTTGTTTGCTCTCCCATTTGTGTGTGTTGTAGCTGTGGCTTATTACATTCCCCCAGCAATGAATTCTAATTTGTGTGTGTGTGTGGCTGTGAAAGATGCCTTTGTGTTTCCAATGGGCTTTGTCTTCTTTGTTAGCTCATCGTATGGAAAGAAACTGGATGATCCCACCATGACCTCAGCCAGCACAGGAACAAGCTCTGCTGGACTAGGCCGCCTTAATAGCGCCTCGTCACAAAGGTATTTCATTTTGTATACTGTCTGAAGCATTTTTCTCACTTGTCTGAAAGATCTGATAGTGGTAATGTTTCTTTCTCCCAAAGAATTCCTCAGGAACAGAAGGATCAGTCTGCCGTCACCACCTCCAGCTCTCAGAGCACGACCACAGGTGAACAGGAGGCCAAGCAGAGGCGCAAGTGAGTCTCGACTGTTTCCTTGCATGTTATTGAGGGGCGGATATTTTTAAACTGAAGGGCTGTTGGTGCTGCTTTGTTGCTAAAAATGTGGTTTGACTTGTGCAGATCTTATTTGACACCCGTGCGGGATGAAGAAGCAGAGGCACAGAGGAAGGCTCGCTCTCGACACGCACGGCAGTCCCGCCGCTCCACTCAGGTACAAACATGACCTGCAGATGAGGAGGAAACCTCCAGCTCTGGAGCCTTCTAGTAATGTCAGTGTGGTACATGAGGCGACATTATCTCTCTTTCACTTAAAGGGGGTGACACTAACAGATCTGCAGGAGGCAGAGAAGACGATGAAAACGATGAAGGCGGACAACAAAGGGAGAGAAAAGAAGGAAGAGGAAGAGAAGGAGAAAGAGAAAGAGAAGGAACTAAAACAAAAGAAAGGAGAGGAGGGGGTGAGAACCCTACATGCCTGTGTTTGCTGCACTTACATAATGTCATGTGGCATCACATAGCAGGGGATACTGTGTTCACAGGAAGTGAGCTGGAGGTCTCGCATTGCCAGCCTGCAGAAGTCAGACCTACTTGGCCTTACACAGCCCGCTGGCACTCCACGGCCTCAGACGTCTGACTATTTTTGTGGTGCTGGTAAAAAAAAAAAAAAAAAAAAAAAAAAAAAACCTAGAGCCCGACAATGCTGCAGTTGTTTAAATATTTGATTTTCCCTTAAACATCTGCTGTGTGGCTTCGTTCCAGATGTTGAGGCCAGCACACTGGAGAGTGAGACGGAGCGATGGGCCCGGGAGCGCAGGGAGAGAAGACAAGCTCGGGCCAGAAGGAAGGCACAGAGGCCTGGGGAGGTTAATACCACAAACATCTTTTTATCTGTCAGATTACTGCAGGACAGATAGCAAATCATTCTAACAAGAAAAGATAAAGTAGCAAATGTAAAAACCAGAAATGCTGTAACTTGACTTTGGAGTTGTGGTGTCTGTCATGTGCAGAGCGATGACAATGATCCCAGTGGAGAGGAGGAACTCTCAGGAAGTGGGCTGGATCCACAGGTATGTTTGTGTGTTTACAGTCTCAATGGATTGCACCCTAAGATACTGGCCTACAGTGTGAATACCCGAACCGAGCCAGCTGGGTTTAGACAGGAATTTGGAAATTATGTTAGGGTCTGGGTTAGGTTAGGGCACATAGGGCAAACTTTAGCCTATACAGTTGGAGCACTCAAATGTCTGTTTCGCTTAATGAGAAGGGCGGAAAACGCCAGTACAAACTCAACTGCTTTGGGCTCGGGTGGGTTTGGACATTATAAGCTTGAGGGTCCAGATGCCACACCCTCAGGCATGAGTCAGATTCGGACAAGAATATGCGGCTCGATCCATGCTCTACACTGGTCCTAACTCGTTTGCTTGTCTTCTCTGTTTACAGACAGAGCAACACTTGAGTTCCAGGTATGAATCCAGCCTTTGACCTGTTAGATTTGCTTTTTCCTCACTGTGTTTGCACAGTCTCCGATAGCTGTATCTCTGACCCCTGCTCTCCTCATCCACTAAGGTCAAACGTACCCTGTAATGACTGTACCCAGGGAGGAGAATCTGAGACGAAGGATTTTAAGAAGGTCAGCAAACAAAACTGATGTTGAGATCACAATGTGTCTTATTTGGCCCAGTTTTTTACTGCTGTCTGTGTCTTAGCTGTTTGAGGAGGTCTCCAGAGAAAACAGCCAGCTCCAGTCTCAGCTGCAGGACACCCAGAGGATCATCAGTCAGACCAGGTTGGACCTGGAAAAGGTCACACAGGTGATGGCACAGACGCACAATAAGCTAAACCTTTATTGTAATCTTTAATGCAGAGACAAAAGGATACACAAATGTTGTTTTTGAAGATGAAAATGTAACAAACATCTCTTGCTGGTATGACTGGTAGCCTACCTTGGCTAGTATTATCAAACTTCAGCAAATGAATGCCGTGTGACTGACATCACCGAGTTGTTTATTGACTTAATGACTCATCCTGTGCATGCATCTGTATAAGCAGTCACAAACATTTCAAGGGTTTTAATCACAAAAGTAGAACAAGAAGCAAACCCACCAAACCTCAGGAGAAGACATCAACCACTATTCAGAACAGTGTTCAGCTCTTTTGCAATGTATGTTGTGTATTTTTATACCTTAAATGACCCCACAATATATCATAAAACATACTGTACAGTCAATAGTTTGTATCTGAGAGCTAACTTCCCTAATGATCAGCACAGACAAAGAAAAAAATACCACAAAGACCTTGTATTCATCTTGTAAACCTACTGTTCCAGTGATGATACTAATATTATTGGTATTTTGCATCCAACAGAGACAGGAGCGCTTTAGTGACTGTTCAGCCCTGCTGGAGCTGGAGAGGAAGGTAATGCATCCCTGCTGGTAACATTAATGTTTTGTAGCTTCATCTGCCTCACTATAGCCACCCTGCTGTTTGGTTGACACTCTCTCCTCCCTACTCGAACCATTTTGTCACCTGTTTTCACTCAACTTTTGTGCTCCTCCTTCTTCTCTACATCTTTTCTTTCTGCACCCCAACCCTCCCACATGTTTCCCCGGCATCAGGACCGGAGGATGTTGGAGCGGCGAATGGCAGACCTGGAGGAGGAGCTGAAGGTGAGGAGAGATCCAGAATGAATCTGATCACGGGCACAGACCCTCTTGCATGCTCCTGCTTGATTAGCTTGGCTTTAGCTTGTGCATTTCAGCAGCGTGGTGAAGACACTGAAGAGAGTTGTTTTACACAGTATGGTCTCTCTAAGCCTGTCTTCAGGTGAGATAATGTTACTTCTCATAGGTTAATGTGATTGCTTATCAGATTAATAGATGTTTTGTTCTACCTGCCCGGCAACTACTTGAAAGTGGTAGGTAACCCAAGATGCATCTGATCTGTGTGTTGTGAAGTAACACAATGACGCTTTCTGTAAATTGCCTGACATTTCTATTAAATCAGGCTTGATTGATTAACAGGCCTTGGGACACCTAGGCTACATTCACCTTACATGATGAAGTAGTACAAATCAGATTAGACCACAAGTGACTTCAGTCTGATCTTTTCATGGACGTGTGAACAACCAACGTGGGACTTATTGCAAATCGGATGTGGGCCATTTCTCTATGTGGTCCTTGATCTGATCCATATCAGATCTGACTATGCAATCGCTGTCACACCAGAGCTGGATCCATGTCACTTTCAATCATGAATTACAGCCATAAACACAAAAAGATCAGATGTGACTTAAAGAAATCAGAATTGGGCGTTGAGGGCTGTAACATGAACATAGCACAGGGGGAATTAATAAAACGGGTAGATGCTGTATTATATGTATCTAGGAGTGCAGTTTCTTTGTATTGCACATGCTGGGTCACCTGGTAAGGCTTTTTGCAAAACTTAAATGGAGCAAAGTGATCATTATTATTTTTAACATCAGTGCTTTTCCTGCCACAATTAGTCAAAATATGTGCTGTGAAAATGGCCTAGAATATATCATCTTAGGATTTCATGTCAATGGACTAATAATACATATATCAAACAGTAAAATGAGTAAATCTTGTTTTATACTGTATTTTGACTTTTTGTAATGTGAGTTTACCTTCTACCACCAGGTTCTAGTTGACCTGAGAGCAGACAACCAGCGTCTTAAGGACGAAAATGGAGCGCTGATCCGTGTCATCAGCAAACTCTCCAAATAGACGTGGAAAGCGAGAGAGAGAGAGAGAGACAGGAAGAGCAGGGAATCCCCCTTCGTCCCTCTTTTCATCCATCTCTTCTTCCTTCCACACATTCCTCCCAGTGCCAAAGAACGAGAGAGAAAGAGGGGTGGAGAGAAGCAGCAAAATGTCCTACATACATGAGCACTACAGCTTGACTTGGATTGTGATGCGTCTTGGAACAGCTGGAGTGGCTTTTGTGCCATAATGACCATTTGTCACAGGCTGACCGGTGGCATGAAGGCCTGTGGCTTTGGTCAGAGGCTCTCACAAGTAGAAGCCATGAAACCTGACAACAGCCAGAATGCCCACGGCTGGTGCAACACACGTCTGCTACAACCGTGCATCAGGGGAACACTAACGTGCACACACATTCCTATGGGTGCATCACATACTTCCTTGATGCGCATTCCACTGAGTGCACTAGGCAGCTCGGGCCTTAAAGCTCCCACTTAGTATTTATTTTATTTGTGAACATCCTCACATCTCACACACTCATAAATTTACCCCACAAATCTAATGTGTTGTCAGACAGTAAATGTTTTGTTGTATTATTTTAAAACTCGGCCCTGAAATACATCTCAGGCTCTGTCTACACTTGGCATCGTCCTTATGACACGCAGAAGTCTATGAAGCTCTGTTGGGTTGTTTTGTTTCCACATGCAAGCGTTTGATCCCACCTACCTCTCCACCTATGCACTTCCCCACATTTTTATATTTGTCCCCAGACACACTCCTTGCTCTTACAAATGACCGCTGAACCAGGTGTCAACCACAGCACTTTACTCTCTGAAAAGCAATAAAAAATTAAATCTGCGAGGCTTCACCCGTCCTCCAGATAGATAAACTTATGTCAGAGCAGGACCTTCTCCTTTAATAAGTGGAGAGAGAAGTTGCCCATGCCTGAAGGTCAAAGGTCATTGCACAATTAAGAAAAATTGCTGTTCTGTCAAAGCCTATTATTCTATGAATGGTTTTAACTATTACCATTGATAGATTTTTTTTTTCCATTGTCAGGTCCTCTCTTGCAAGGAGCATAGTTATGTATATTACATGTCTATAAATATTAGTCTTCAATAATACTCTTTGAAGTAAAATTCCATGTAGCCTTTCTTCACATTTTGGTTTTCTAATATATATTAAATGGATGTCTGCACCCTTTGCAGTGGCTGCCTGGTTATTATTATAGTCATTTTATTAATTTCATTCACAAAAGTATTGTTTCAAGTAAAATTTGGACAATGGTGCTTCCTGGGGTCATACCCATCCTCAACACTGAGCCCTGCTTTGACTCCTGGCTTCTCAGCAGCATGCTGTGACTGACTGAGTAATCGGAAAGCTCATTGTGTGTTTTCTGGTCACCTGATTGTTTGCTTTTTGCTGCCTCGTCCACACTGTGCTGGTGTCATCCCTGTGTATGTTGTCAACTGCTCTGTTCTCTGGTAGCCAGATGTCCCACATCACTGGAGAGGGGGGAACAAAAAACAGAACAGCTACAATATTGTGACATTCGCACACATGGAGCCTAACAGAAGAAACAGGGCAACACAGATGTATTTACAATATGTTTGAACTGTTGCATTAATTTGCTGCTCCCAGTTGGACTGTACATCATGACTGACATAAAAAGTGTCATTACGTAGGTTGGACGAGTGTTCAGTAGATATCTGAGTAAAGCTGTAGGAGCCCCTTCGTCTCGTCTCCTCCATCCACTGAAGTGAAGTTAACACCAGTCATCCATCTGTTTGTCTCATTGAGAGAAGAGCGATGGACCGCTGTCTTGTGGGCTAGAAGTACTGACAACAAGCTGAGCTCCTAATAAGGAAGGGCAGGCTGGCCGAGGCACTCTCTGTAAATATCCCTCAGGTCTGACAAAGACAGAGGAAAGGAAAAGGGGAGGAAGAGGGAAGTGGATGGATTGCAGCCTTATATGGACAAAGCAGTGCTTTTCCCAGGGTTTGTGGCTCTGACCCCCGGCGTGATGCCAGATGCTACACAGACAGCTTCTCTGCGCCATCCAGAGGTACAGCTAATGTAATGCTACAGTAGTAGGCTTCATCCAAGTTATTTGGCAATGAAGACATTTGTTTGGTAATTATAGGGCAACAAAAACCAAATTGGTAACGGCCTTAAGGCGGCCTTTGCATTTTTACCAAATGCTTTTGCTCTGTCTTGTAGTAATAGTTATAATTATGCATACTGCTGTGCATATTCTTTAAAGGTGTATTCCTGTGATTTTTTTTTTCTTAGTATTGCTTTGCCATGAAGTCTCTGGTATGGGTCAAGCTCCAAACACACTGGATTATGCAATTCCCGTAATGCAGCTAAATATATTTAAGTTGTATGCAGCCTTTCTGTTAAAGATTTGAAGCCTGGCATCATTGGAGGTCTCTGACTTTAAAAAAAAAATGCATCCAGGTTTCCAAGGTCCTCAGCTGGATGCAGACTGAGGAAGTCACCGTTCATGGTTGGTACCACGATGGCACCAGCTTGATCTCATTTTTGGAGGAGTGTATTACATAAAATTTTGGGGGGATAGTGGTCATCAGGCTGTATCAATAACTAATGCTCTTCATTTGACATGGGAAGTATAAAACACTGAAGTATTTGTTCCAAAGTAATGTGTATATTTGTTAGGTAAGGAGTTGAAGTGAGCCTTAATATAAAGAAGGTGAAAGGGAATTTGTAGAGGGACTGGTGGGCAGAGGGGAGATGACATGATTTATTGTGGAGAGAGTGACGTGATAGTTATTGGAAAAGAGAGGCTGAATATGTAAACACTCTTACTGTGACCTGGAGAGTATTTTTACTGTCTCAGCCAAGTGGTCCTGGTGTTTTAATTGTAAATGTGTAAGCATACAGTGGCAGCCAGTTCATCCTGTAACAAAGACTTGAATGTTCAAGCTGTCCAACTTTAACAAAGGGGCTTAGTAATAGTGTTAAGACCGTTTAACTAAAGCTGAGAGTTGACACCTTCATGTTGTGATCACGGCTTGTGGCATTTCAACAAAATCTAAAGAGCATCTTTGACCTGAAATGGTGCTGTCGTACTTATTGATCCAATGTACACCTGGATTTACACAGACTTATCCGTTCCATGCCATGTTTTCGAGCAGACCAAGAATCAAATCCAGGTTTTCTGTGCAGCACAAAGAGGTGCGGTACCTCCTCCTGCTGTTGACTTCATTTTGTAAACTTTTGTTCGTTGCTTTGGTTAGATATGAACTGGGAAAGGAACTGCCAGGTGTGCCGGTTTTCATAGGTTACACTGTAGGTACACAAGCAAGCGGTTTGGGAGCTCCTGCAAGTTTTGCTTTCACTTTGATTTTTCCAGCATTCTTCTTTGTTGCAGAAACAGATGCTGTAAGTTAATGGGGACAACATGCTGCATCAAGGTTACATGACAGTACATTTTTAAATGTTTATTATAGGCACTGATCAAAATTCTTTCTCAGTTGCATTTAATAAATGTGTTTAAACTTGTTGTCCATTTAAATATAGTCATAAAAGCTGCTTGTGAATGAACTGTGGAATGCCCCCAGTTCACGTGACCGTGAAACATTACAGCTGTAATGGTCGCTGAAATTAACACCACCTTTAACTATGACCTCAATAATAAACATATAATTGATTATATAGATTTGACAATTTCACCAAAAATTGAAACATTTTGAGCTTTATAACCGCAGGTGTTAGGGCGGAAGTGTTACATTGAATTGCATACAAATTTTACAGGTGTACCTAATAAAGTGGCCAGTGAGTGTTTGTTTATCTTAGCCAATGAATGCCTTCAGATAAATGAATAATTCCAGACCGCTTAATCAGTGAGGTGCAGGCACCTTATCAGTATTTTATGTTCATTGATAAGTGGATCCTTTTTTAGATTTTATTGCAGCAGTTCACATGACATCTTAGGATGACACATGGACATGTCTTGTGACACAAACATGTCAAAGTACACAATCTAGAAATAGCCTTTACTCAGAGGAACCTGTGAAAAGTGTGTGTGCAGCTTCACAGTAATGGTCTAATGTCTGGTACCCTTTGTGAACTGAGCATATTTGAGTGTGTTTTTAGTCCAAAAACATAATAAATGTTCACAGTCTCACAATAAATCTACAGCAGATAGAGGACTGATGTCAAAATATAACTGCTTCACACAATATAATAAGTAAAACAATTGTTCATTCAGCTGAAGACCTCCTGGGACCCTCTGATTGACCCATGACTGCACTGGAAAACAGACTTCCTGATTTGATTTAAGCTTTCAAGCAGCGATCACCTCTTCACCATGTGCTCTGCTGCAGACCCTTACATCTTCTCCACCGACATTCTGCCCAGTGACCTCCGCTTCCTCCCTCCACTGGCCAATGGGCTTCTGGGGTGGAGGGTGTACAGCAGTATCATGCACATGGGTGGTGTTTATAACGGGGAGGGCGGATGTTGTCACCGAGCAGATGTCCCCTGTCCTCTGGCTGTTAAAGTTGAGACAGAGGATCCTGCCCAGCACACCTATAGTCTGGATACCCACACAGGTAGTCTCTGCAGTGTTGGACTGTTTACTTGTGGACTTGTGTTCATCTCATTTTATGCTGTTAAGTTTAGTCTCTACTAATTGTCTCACCTTGTCATCCAGGTATCTTTATGCACACTCTGCGCACAGCCAGTGTAACTGTGTCACATTCTTTTTACTCACACCGAAACTACTCCAACATAATGGCGATGGAGATTTTGATAGTGCGTCGGTTGACATCAGAGGATCTGATCACTGTTAAGATGGTCAGTTCGTTCACACCTCAGAGCAAAGACATTGTTTTTGAGTCTGGTCCTGATTACAAAGGAGGGAGGTAAGCTTAACAAAAACACATTTAAAATGCAGATTTTTGACTACATGGTACACTATGATCTTTTACAGTCCCCTCTCTGTCAGGCACATCCAAGGACAGACAACCACTGCTGAATTCCCTGGGGGTTCCTGTCCTACAGTGCACCTCATCTGGACCCCTGTACCACCGACTTTGACGCTGCTTCCACAACAGAGCCAGGCTCGCTGGAGCTTCATTCTGGTTGTGGCCAATAGTTTAGACTCTGCTGAGGCCAATTTTGATAAGGGCCTTAATCTGATGGCGATGGATGACCTCCGTCCATCTCATGAGAAGGCCTGGAAAGAGCTGTGGCTGCAGAGCAAGGTGGAGGTGGTAGGGTCAGAAACCCTCTGCAAGGCTGTGATTGGCTGCCTGTTCTACCTCCTCAGTGCCTTCCCCTCCATACATGACACCTCCAGCTTGTTTGGTGGAGTCAGCCCAGGCGGTTTATCTAATGGTGGGGATGGTCAGGACTACTGGGGCCACGTTTTCTGGGACCAGGTGAGTATGGTGGCAGTTGATGGTGAGCTATGTTATTTACATTTTTAATTGTATAATGTGGCTCACAATGACCCTGCCCTCTTGCGACAGGACATCTGGATGTATCCTGGGATAGCCCTGTTCTACCCCAAGCTAGCCCAAGCTGTGCTAGAGTACAGGGTGGGGACTATAGCTGGCGCAAAATACAATGCCCAAAGGCAGGGCTACAAGGTATGATGATTAGTGGGATACTCTGGCTTTCACTGTCCTAACCCCAAAAAACCATACAAGAGCTTGGCTCACTGTTCAATTATTAACATTGTACATGCTTAGAAAAAGTTACCAATGGAAGAATAGTTGAACATTTTGGGACATATACTTATTCTCCATCTTCCTGACAAATACACGAGGAGATTAACACCACTGCCCTAATTATACAGTTGGAGCCAGGGCAATGTTAGTTAAGCATAAAGACTGAAAGCAGGGGGAAACGGAAAGCCTGACTCTATTCAGTTCTAAATTGTGCCTATTAACATTTCTAAAACTCATTAATTAATACATTATATATTGTTTGTTTACACAAGCAGAAATGTAGAAACAACCATTTGTGGTTTTAGGTAAATATGCGTGCTGTAAACTAGCTTTCCCAGTGAGCAGCGATAGCTGTTTCCCCCAGTTTCTACTCTTTATGCTAAGCTAAGATAATTGACTGCTTCTTCTACCTTCTGTCCATCCTCTCATTTACATCGCACAAGAGAACAAATGGGAATATTTCCTAAAAACACCATATTCCTTGGTGCCTCTCCTTAGTTAAGTAAGGCACAGTTATGCTCCACAAAATAAGTGAAATGCATGACATCAACAGTTAGCCAAACAATAATTTAACATCCTCAAACATTTTGCATAAAGTATCATTTGGATAGCATTGAACTGATTGCATAAAAAACAGTTGGCAGAACCATGCTTTTATGGCAGTTACTGTTGCTCTTTGTGTGTCTTGTTCTGTATTTTAATAACAATGAAACATTGCCTGAGTCTGCTGAAGAAAATATATCTTTACAGGGACTAAAGTTCCCATGGGAGAGTGCTGTGTCAGGGAGAGAGGTGTGTCCCGAGGACATTTATGGACAACAAGAGATTCACATCAATGGCGACGTTACCCTGGCCTTCCAACATTACCTCTACCTCACTGAAGTATACTCGTTTATCACCACTCACCCCATCGTATTGACTCATCCTGTGAGATATTATTAACTGAGCTCTTCATTGCAGGATCTGACCTTGTTCACAGACGGACGGGGCTGTGAGGTGATATATGGTGTGGCTGACTACTGGTTGTCTAGAGTAACATGGAACCCTGAAGACCAGAAATATCACCTCCTGGGTAAAAAAAACGCTATTAGAAAGATGATTATTAGAATGTATTTACTTAAATTGACATGGTTATGAGGCCAATTCTTCAGTAAAAGCTAAATTAAACACATTTCACTTGAAAACCTCACAAACGTAAATCTTAACTTTCACTGTTATTGAACTTTTAAAAAATGTTATGACATTTTTGGCTACAACCCAGCAGCAAAAACTATCTGATATCTATTATATATAGTCAGTAGGCAGTTAACAGGGAACACCTTTCTAAAACTAATGCAGCCTAATACAACAGTACTGCAGATAATCAGAGAGACGTTTCTTATTCAGCCTAGCCTCGGTGATATCAGTGGAATGGACAAAATAATAGGAACACCTGTCAGTATAACATATTTCAGGAGCACCACAAACTACATCTTCCAGAATTATCAGAAAGTTAAATCAACATCTCTTTGAACAGTTTCATCAAAAACTGAGCATTTATTCCAGGACTGCTGTGTCAGACTGCATTGGTTTTAGTCAGATGTACCTAATAAACTGCCAATAGAGTGCAAAAGCATGAATATTATTATTAAAATATAACAAAGCATTTCTGTTTTGTGCTATTCAGGTGTCATGCCACCTGATGAGTATTACCACAATGTCAACAACTCTGTGTACACAAACGCAGTGGCCAAATTCAGGTACTGTACTAGTATTTGAGTACTTTCCTGCAGTGCATATTAATGTAAGATTACCACTGACACAAAATGTTTTTCATTTTTCAGTCTCCAATTTGCTGTCGAATTGGCTGGCCTCCTCCAACATCCTGCACCAAAAGAATGGCAAGAAGTGGCCGAGCACATCAAGATACCTTTTGATGAAGAATCCCAGTACCACCCTGAATATGATGGCTATGTGAAAGGTGAATTTTAAGTCTTTTTAGCAACCACCCCCATAAGAAAAATAAAGTGCTCATAACATGGTGTCAGAATGAATTTTGGCTTTTCACAGGTCAGCCAGTGAAGCAGGCGGACACGGTGATGTTGGGCTATCCTCTTGGATTCCCAATGTCCCGAGAAGTCAGAGGAAATGATCTTGAAGCGTATGAGCCAGTAACAGACCCTTACGGTCCAGCCATGACATGGGTAATAAACCATATGTTGTATGGCAAATATAACGTTGATACTGTTAACTTTGGTTTTACCAGCAAGAACATACTTACAATGATACTGTTTAAATGTTGAAAGAAGAAATAATGTTTTCCTCTTTAAATGAAGTTACATAAACAAGGCAAAGCAAGTTTATTTATATAGCACATTTTCATACAATTCAAAGTGTTTAATACAATACACACAAATATATCCATACACTATTTATACCACTTATCCTGACGAGAGTCGTGGGGGGCGAGGGGCAGCGGGGGGCAATCCCAGCTAAAATTGGGCGAGAGGTGGGGTACACCCTGGACAGGTCGCCAGTTTATCACAGAGCAGACCCTTAGAGACAGTAAAGTACAGTACATAGTAACATCAAATGGAAACACCTGTGTACAAATACCTCAAAGTTGTACTTAAGTGTAGTTCTTGAGTGAATGTACTTATTTACTTTGCCCATCTCTCCCTGCACTGAATGTAAAAGTCTCCTGTTGCTTTTTTTCTTTATTAATTAATGTATGTTTGCACTAATGCGTTTACTTTCCATTGTAAGGGAATGTATGCAATTGGCTGGCTGGAGCTGGGGGAGGCTGAGCGAGCTCAGCATTTACTAGAAAAGTCCTTTAGCAACATCCAGGGACCGTTCCAGGTATCCCTCTGACTCTCACACCAGCATTGTACTAACATATGACTCTTTCCTGACTGTTCAGCCAATGTGTGATTACCTCTCCTCACAGGTATGGAGTGAATCATCTGATGGCTCTGGTGCAGTCAACTTTCTCACGGGGATGGGTGGATTCCTGCAAGCTGTGCTGTTCGGTTATACTGGGTTCAGGCCAGTCTTCACTCTTCCCACCACACAATGAAAAACCACCTCAGTATGTGCACACAGCATATAGGCAGTGATGCAGACAGTCTTTTTTTGTTTACAGAGTTCAAAAGGAATGCCTGGCCTTTTCTCCACTTCTTCCCAATGATATTTCTGAGCTCTCTGTTCATGGTGTGAACTATCTGGGCAGTCAGATGGACTGGCTGCTGAGGAAAGATGAAGTTTGTATCATACTGAGGGAATGGAGAAGCAGGGCCGGAAACACTAAGCCCTGTGATCTACAGGTTGTCCTGCGTGCATCAGGAGCTAAAATCCCTCTGACACCAGGTAACACACAAGCTAAGACGTGAAATAATGGGCTAGCACCTCACATCTGATTTTTAGAACAGTGTTTACTTATTAATTTAACTAACACATGTCACCTCTTGAGCTATAGACTGAAAAACATCCAGTGAATCATTTATACAGCATGCTCAGGATAACAGTAAAAGAGAGAGAGAGAAAAAGACTAATAGGATTTGAGTGATCAAAAAAGTCCCAAGTTTCCTCTAATGATCATGTGATTCATCAAACATTTATTAGAAAATTTCATATGTATCAATATGGCAACTTTGTTGTAAACAAAGCATAAGAATGATATAGTAACATATTATTTACTAATTAGTATACGTACATTTATATTTTCAGGTCAACCAGTAACTTTTCCTCGAGAGCCTGGCTGTGTTTGTAAAGTGGGTTCGACATCTTCATGCTGGCCTTTCTGAAACAGGAGTCTTGACCCTGATCATTCCATGTACCCAGAATTAAAAATATATTGAGCAAGTTATGTTATATATAGGCGTAGTGGTTAGACCTGTCCATTGTGTACCCGGCCTCTCATCCAATGTCAAAAGGGATAGGCTCCAGCCCCCCTGCAACCCTCTTCAGTATGAGCGGTATAGACTATGTATGGATGGATGGATTTTATATATAAGATAATGTTATGTTCTATATTAATATTCACTTAAGCGGCCATGGACAAATGTGATTGAATAAAGAAGAGCAACATAACTAAGCAGCTATATCACACTGGAAGGTCACAGATGATTTTGTGTAAGTGGACTGTTTGTATTGATTTAATTAAAAAAATCAAAGAAAATGTGTGAATTCTCACCTTACTTACAGTATTTGTGGACTGAATAGCCATTGTTTCTGGGTGATAAGAATGAGCCTGTTCCTCTCTTAATTTTGCTAAATGTCTGACATACTTATTTGGCTACTTTCAAGCTCACAGCACAGTGGCCTACAAATTGCATTGTATTTTCTCTTGATAATCTGATTCTGAAAAGTATCTAGCAAATAAAGGTGTCAAATAAATGTAGTAAAATAAAAAGTGCAATATTTGGCTCTAAAATGTGGTGAAGTAAACGTTTTAAATTGCAGAAAATGAAAATACTTAAGTTACTTTGTTAAGTTACTGAAATTGTACTTCAGGTACTTGAGTAATGTATTTACTTATGTTCCACCACTATTTCTTCTTTTGCTGTTTAATGGCGGTTGGCAAACATCTTTTACGCTTTTAGGTGCTCTACCGCCACCATCAGGAATGGAGTGCTGCTCGGATCACTACTATCGATTGGTTGATTTAAATCCGAGCAGCGGTATAACTCCGCCCCAGATTTCCGTTGAGTTTGCACGTTTTGTATTCACTTATCGCCCGTTTCCGCACTCCCCATCACTCCTCAGTATTCTAAGTGGTGGGGCTTTCCTTCCAGATATTCACGAAGACGAATCGAACATCTCCTCTGTTCACGGAGCTTCACTATTGGTTGGTGAAGTTTTGAACAACTAAACGGTTTCAGCGGGTGTTCAGGTTGTGAAGGAGTTTATGAAAGAGCTGTACTGAAACGTAAGTATAAGTTGTAGCACATTTATTTTGACGTTAGTATGTGATAGATTGTGTTCGTTGTATTATTGTTATTAACGAGCACGGAATTCCCTTTACAGAAGCTTGCATATCGAAGGTAATTACTTTTACGTCAAACACAACACTATCGTTAGCGGGCTAACACCGTAGCATTAGGCTTTTAAATAACGTTACAGAGTAGTTTCAAGTAAAAAATGGTGTCGCAATCATGGTTAAATTACCTCTATTTACCGTGTCACCCAGTAACGTAGTTGTTAGTGTAGCACTTAACATTTGAGTGTTTTGTTTTTCATGCTCCTTGATCATGTTGAAGGCAACGTTACCTTAGCTTAACAAGCTAAGATAGTTTGTTACCTGGGAAACACTAGTTAATACTTTTTATTAACGTTAATTGCTTTGGTGTATGTTAGCCTCGCATTAATGTGCTTTTATACTGTAACACTGTGAGTGCTGCTGTTACATGTAAACAACGTTACTGTCTACATTCTCATTAAATTATGGGCTTCTATAGCAGTCCGTCCGCGAAAATAAAGACGATGCATAATGGACTTGACAATGCAAGACAAAAAAATACGCGGTTTATTTGCTGACTTTATTTGATTTGCAGAAATGACTGAATCTAGCGTGTAGTTTATTAATACTTGACAACGTAGTATTTGAAATTTGAGATGATGCTAAGACTATTGTATTACCAAGTCGTTTCTATTTTATTTTGACCTGGCAGTTGATTTTAATTGTCTAGTGAGTTATGGTTGTTTGTGTGAATATTGGTAAAGGAGTGTTATATGGTATATGGGTTACAGCCACAATTGTAAGGCTGTACTTGCTGTAACAGTTAATCCAAGTGACTGGCCAGTTATTGATGCATTACACATTGTAAGTAGCTTTTGTCAATTAGGGTTTTCCAGATTTGTGTTTTAGTGTGTCTAATACACGTGGATGCAAATGGTCCAACTGAAAGGTAATAATGAACTTTGTCAAAACAAACATTAAAACATAAACAAATTGGAAAATTGTCTTTAGGTGAAGCTTTTCTCTTGCACATCTTATGTCTGTCTCAGCTTGACCTATTATTTTATATGCTTAATCTTTCCATCAGGCTGTCATCATGAACTCCGTACTATCAACTGTATGTTCCCTCAAGCAAATGTTTGATGGCAAAGTACAAGAATTCATTAGTGACATTGATAATGTCCACGTGGTTTGGCTTGAGGAGATCCAACAAGAAGCCAACCGCATGTTCTCAAGGTAGGCTTGATGTCTTAAAATCAGTTGAATAAAATTTTTGTTCTCTTGTTCCTTTCAGGTGTTTTCCTTATGCTTATCCTTTTCATCTTCTGAAATCTGCTGTCTTGTATAAATAATCTCTATTAGGGGTGTGTATCTCTCCCTCTCACGATTGTGTATACATGGTCCATGATTAGATACAAAATGATACTGCAAAGTTTGTAACGATACAATTCAGAGGGATTTTGATTGAGCAGATATTCAATTTTAATTTAGTTTTTATTTGAAAGACTATACATACATTAAAGTATATGTTTCGGGTATAAAATTTAATAAGAGGTGGTTTCTCCTCAAAGCAGTTTTTTGTTTCAAGCTGTGAAAACCAGATCACACAAGGTCTGCTCATTTTAACAATAGTAAACAATGGGCACTGGTGATGAGTAAACCTCCAGCTGCTGTTTCACCTTATACAGAGCTGAAATGCATTTTCCCTTAAATCCTGTTAACTTGTTATTGTGTGCCTCAGTTTCAGAGACACTGTCATTTGTTCAAATCCCACATTTTCAGCAACAGGGGTGCGTCCTTGCAACCGATATAGGTTATAGCTTCGGTTGTTGATTTCAGTCCAGCCGGGTAGCATTATCAGCTAATGTGCTCTGAAAGTACCTGCTAACAACGCCAGGACTGTTACTTGCCTCAAGCTTACTGCTCTCGCAGCTAGCTGTACTCTTTCCATCGGTTAAACAATGTGTTACCTTCATAATGTATCTACTTGCGATGCGAGGTCGGTGATACTCCCTGTATAGGCAACTTGATACAAGTACTGCATGTTCTGCACGCTGAGGTAGCTGCTTACACTAGCAGCATTTACTTCTGCAGCTTTCTGTATTGTGTATGGCGTTTTTGCTGGACCTGCCCTGTTAAGAATGAGGTGTGTTTAAAAGCCGGCAAGAGATGGTACACACACACACACACACTAGAGCGGAGTACAGCGAGAAGTAACAGGAAACTTGTCAAAGATTGGTTTATGGGATCCATATCAATTTTTAGACAGTTTTAAAACTCAGTTGGTTTGAATCTGTGGTTTCCAACCCATGCAGCTGTAAATCTGGCTCTTGTATCAATTGTCCAAATCATATTGCTTTGTCTTTACACCCCTAATCTCTATAATTGTTTTTAAAGTTTTTGTGATCAAGCTGTTTCTGTTTATCTCAGAGAATTTAATGCTGAACCAGAATTAATGCCAAAAACACCATCCCAGAAAAAGAACAGTCGCAGGAAGCGTGTATCTGTGGGGCGACAGGAAGAAAATCAACCAAGACGAAGGTTTGTTGCTTTCATTTTTGTTCTAGTAAAGGCTTCACATTTCTTCAAACCTGAGCCGTTTTAAAGATGTTGTCTTTGTAACTCTGAATAAATATCTCTTTTCAGGCTTTCAAAGGGACGACGCAGTAACATTCGTGGCCCTTCTGTCAAATCACTAAACTTCATTGCTGAAGAAGAAACAAACCTTGTGGCTTCCACCTCTGAAACCTGCACCACCACACTGCCTAAACGTACCACTCGCCAAAACAAACAAACAAAGCTTGATGTGGCAGAGGATGTACGACAGTCACCCAATGACAGCCGTAGAAGTGAAGAGGTGCAGAATAAGAAGCCAGAGATTGTGGAGGAAGGAGTAGACAACAGTAATGAGGTTAACAATGCAGAAGTGCAGCCTGGTGACACATGTAGCACTGCACAGTCTCTGCCTAAGATACCCTCACCTGAGGTGGTGGTTAGTCTCTCTTCAGCAGACCGCTTGTCAGCTGAACTCGCTAAAGAGCCAGAGCCCTCTCAGGGCTGTTCAGACACAAAGATGGCAATAGCTGCAGCCACTCAGAGCTCACAGCACAGCTCTGTGAGGTGCTCCCTCAAGCTACGCCACTCGCTGGCTGGTCTACGACACAGTATGACGCAGGAGTCTGTTCGGCGTGCCTCACGCCGCTCCATGCTTAAGAGGAAGGCGGCTCGCACGGGCAACTCCACTTGTAGTAGCAACATTAGTGGTGAGAACTGAGCCCTATGGTTTGTAATTACATAAAATGTAAACAATTACAGTTTCTTCAGCACTTTGATTCTTTGAAACTGTATTTTATTCATTCAGTTATTTATTTTTCTCTCTGATTGTAGAAGATACTGGCAAGGACTCTACAGAAGAAGAAGACAGAGAGGGGTGAGTACTGGCTTAATTTTTTTTGTTTGTTTGTTTTTGCATGTAACAGTATATTGCCATCTTAATATAAATGAAAAGTCAGATGTTTGGACCTCTGAGCTATTTGTAATGGTGAGATGTACACCTGTCTGCCTAGGTTACCCTTAGCCACATGTGAATGGACATGAATTCATTGTTCTTTATTTTGATTTATTCACTCTTACAGCATGGTAGAAGAAGAATCAGCAAACTCGGAGGATAATGCTAAAGCTGAGGAATCTAAGGGAAGTGCAGAGGTATGTCTGTCTTAAGTATCAATGTGAAAAATGTAATTCTTCTTGCGTTTATTAATTGCTTTCTTATATATTTTTTATATTTGTATGAAACAAATATAGACCCAGATTAATCAGAAAGTGTTTTCACCTGTTGGACGTATAACTCGGTCTGTGGCTACAAACTCTCCCGCACTGGCTCCCCCTTCACTGTTTCTGCAGAAAATGAGCACACCTGGCAACAGAGCAGGTGTGTGACTTCATTATCTGTTAAGATTATTATTATTATTATTATTATTCTTTTTTTTTTGTTGAATTGCATTTAGTTAGTAGTTTTTGCTGAATGTTTGCATTTCTTCCAGTTGTCACTGAGAAGCAACAAATGACTCAGCCAAGTCAGAGGTGAGTGTTCTGTATATATACACACACACACGCTGCAGATTCACTGTTGTCCTGCCTTTCATACTCTCAAGGTTTGGTTGGTGTTTTAACTGATGGAGGGGAGACTGATTCATTAACTGTCTTGTCTTTTTAAATATGTGCCCCCCACCCCCTGTTTTTAGGTCGCGTCAGAGTACTAAGCGTAAAGCACCAGATACTGTAGAGGGAAGTCCTACAAAGAGGTTTTCTCCCCCCAAGAAAAGTCAGACTGTAAGATGGACAATCTGCTGTGTGTAGCTTGCAAATGGAAAATATGAGGATAAACATATACAGTATTATTTAAGGATTTCTTAAATATAAAGTAATGTGGATTGTCTTTTACCTTATGGGGTTTTTCCTCTTTCTTTCTTTCTAGACAATGAGACCCAATATGAGATCGTTTCTCCACACTGTGCAAAAGAATCAGATTCTAATGATGACTCCAAATTCCCTCGGCCGTACTGCTGTTATTAAGTCCTTGATTAAACACACCACTCCGATGAAGATTGATCCTAAGGTAATTTAGAAATTCAACTCCTAGCAAAGCAGCGAGTTTGGTGTAACTTTTCAATGCAACCTCTATGGTGAAATTGAAAATGTTCACCGTCATCTCCATTTGTGTTGTTGTAGATCACATTTTTGATGAGTTATCAAATTGTGGTATTCTCATTTTGGATGTATTTTCTCCCCTTCTCAGTTGAGTACTGGTATAGTGGTAAGTGTAATTCTGAAATTGTTTGTGAGCATTTGGCGGTGTGTAATATTCCACTGTGCTGCTGGATTAAATGTGTCATTCAGTACATATGTTATATAAGCCCCTTTCCCACTTCCACATCTAAATGTAAATGTTCAGGTGTTTGCATCAGAGCTGAAACTAAGGCTCTGGCAGTTTGATGGCTGCAGATTTTAGCAAGATGTCTGTCTGTTAAATTTGGGCTCTAGTGAGAACGGAAGCGGTCACCGTCCTGAACAAACTAGTCAAGTTTAATGCAGTGTAATGGACTGTATGCTGCCCTGTTTATTTACAAGAAACAGCCAAAACCATATCATCCTAACTGAATCCTGGAGTCTCTCAGGGTCCATGTGTAAAAGGGGCTGCTGTATAACACTACAAAGTGCACTTGTTAGTTGATGGTGTCTGATCCTAGGGGTTACTAATGCTCATCATTACAATCTTTTATAATCTAACAACCCTTCAAATCACCTGCATCAGCTTTGGTAACCTCACTGTTACAACTTTGCTTTGAAACGTAATTTCCTCAGAAGTAGAAACTGAAGTAAAAATCCATCTTTACCAGAGTCCATGATGATCTTGGAGAGTGTAATTTAAGCTCCCACTGAAAGTCATGTCATTGTTCCTTCTCTGGGGGATAGATCGTGTTTTGCACTGTGTTTACACCAAAAGCATTTCAGTTGCATTTTTTGAGATGCACGTGTCACAGGACCTGAAGCATATTTCCACCAAAACAATGAAAACTCACTGGTTCCAACCAGCATTTCAATAAAATAGAACAATGCATCAAGTAAACGCAGTTGGAACACAATCTATCATTAGTTGCATCAAGTCTACTGAACATCTTGTTCATTCAGTGTTGTGTAATTGTTCTTTTTTTTTTTTTTCTCACTGTGGGTTTCACGGTCCAATTCTGCACCAAACAGAAAAGTACAGAAATTTATTAAAAGAAGTCACTTTGTGCAGAGGGTTTAGCCTAGGGGCTGCCTGTGACCTGTATGCATGTACAGTAAATCATAGGTTTATGTTACTAGGAATTATTGTTGTTAAGTATCTGAAAGTTTGTTACGATGGATTTTTGCTCTTGTTGTTTCTGGGAGGTGATCTTTTTCCACATTATTGCACCCTACTTGTCACTTTGGATTATTTTTGATGTTGCCACCTAACAACAACAACAACAACAACAACAAGTCTTCTAAACTTAAAAATCATTTTATTTTTCTGCAGACAAAAGAGCGTCACAAATTGGAAGCACTTAGAAAGAAGCAAGAGCAAGAGGAAGAAAGGAGGAAGAAAATGGAGGAGGAGAAGAAGAAGAAACAGGAGGAACTTAAAAGGTTAATGCAGCATCCTCCACTCTGTAGTTTAGTAGTTGATTCATCTTTCTTTATATAAATATTTAAATTTTGTGTTCTAGGAAGAGGGATGAGAGGTTAAGAAGGGTGTTTGAGGCCAAAGTAAAAGAAGAGCAGAGAGAGGAAGAGAAGAAGAAGAAGATTGAGCAAAAAATGGCCCAGATTGATGAGAAAAATGATAAGGTATGCAATAAATTTGGTGACTGTGAATCACTGTTCACTTCCAAACAGACAGAACCACTTTTATTTTTTTGGGATATTACTTTGTGCAGCGTCTGGCAGAGGAGAAGGCCAAGAAGAAGGTGGCCATAAAGCGCCAAGAGGAGTTGGAACAGAAGAAGAAATTGGAAGAAGAGGCTAAGAGGAAGAAAATTCAACAAGCAGTGAGATGATGCTCTTTGATAATTTGTTTATGCAATGATTTCTGTTGTTTCATCACATATACAATTCTCTGCCACTGAACAGCTGGGCTGGAGATTACACACTATGTTTAGCATAGAACAAAATGTTTTTTAAAACGCCTGTGTTAGGTGTAACCTAATTTACTGATTTTTGTGGTGCAATGTACATTATGTCAGCAATTGTTTTATTTTAGAACAAAACACAGCATTATATACATTTTAAGCAATTAACTGATCATTGATTGTTAATGTTGCTGACATAGCTTAATTTCCTCTGCCATTACACATCGAGATCAGGCTCTTCTTAAAGGTTTGTTTGTTTTGTGAACTTGAGGAGGAAGAGAAACAGCAGCAGGAGTTGCTGGCCAAAAAGAAGGCAGCGGAGGAGGAGGAACAGCGAGCTCGTAAGCTGGCTGAAGCTCGCAAAGCACTGGAGCTGGAGAGAGAACGACAAGCTGCTGCTGAAAGGTCTTCTACTGTCCTAACAATAGCATTATAGACAAAGTAGCCTAATTATGTTTTAAAACAAGGTCAAGTTGTCATAAACGGTAACATGCACTGGTGAAGATGTAAGATTTGTATTTATTCCATAGTTTGTTTTACTGACTTGAATTCTGTTTTTCCAGGGAACGTGTGGAAAAGGAAAAAGCTCTGGCTCTGCAACGTGAACTAGAGAAAGCAGCAAGAGAGAAAGAGAGGCAAGAAATGGAAGCAAAGAGGAAGGCGCTCGAGGAAAAGAGAAGACTGGTAAGAAGCAAATTTGTCTCAACTGTGACGTTTTAGTATTCCAAAATAAAATTTCTCTATTGCATGGACATCAGATGACACCCAAGTTCAATCAGTTACATATTTAAAACGCAGACTCTATGTAGCCAGGGTATGAAATTAACAGATACCAAAAGCGGGTAGATTTTTCCATTTGGGCAAATAATCCTCAGAAGACTACCTGCCACACTGACAGGTAAATGTGTAGCACAACAGTCATGTAATAAAATGGTATTGAGTCTCTACTGTGAGTACTCTGCTCTATCAGAGTTTGAGACACATGCACATGTGTTCTGTGAAGACCCATGCCCACTCTGCCTCTGATTGGCTTTCTGAGCCAAGCATAAAAATACACTATAGTTTGTGATTACATGTGTAAAGCGTAAGTGATATGTGAGCCGAAAAATTTATTTCAGACTCTGTATGTAGCATACAGTCATCAGGACACCGATGGCCAGCAGATCTCCCTAACAGAAATGTGACAGTTATTTGATGTGACATCTTACCCACACTTTAATGTGACTGACTTTGGTAGAACCTTTGGTTGATGTCTCCATTAGAATCCATTGTATCCAACAAGTTATAAACTTTTATCTTCACTGTTTAAAGAGGATTTTAGCTCACATGATGAGTTCATAGCAGCAATTGAACATCTTTTATGAAATGCATACTCCTGAGAACTATGGTAAAACTGACCTTTTACTGTCGACCAATAATACTTTCAAACTTGTTTGAGTTTGAAAGCTAAAGCTAAATGTGCTTTTTGTTCCACTAGGAGGAGCAGCAGAGGTTGGCTGCAGAGGAAAAAGCAGCTAAAGAGAGAGAGGCTGCTGCTAAGCAGGCTGCTGAAAAAAAGGTAAACCAGCAGAAAAGCCGATTTTCTCTGTTCACCCAGCCATGCTTAAAATAGTGTGTGAACAATTCACAATGATTTGCCTGTATAAACCTTTGAAAGTCCATGCATCTAACCTAAGACACAGGACAATGTATTTATATAAACCTTTTTTTGTGTTATTTTGTATGAAATAACAGTGATCAATAAATCAGTTATACCCCCAGTGTAAATCCTATTAAAGATGTAGGCTAATAATTAAATGTAACCCTTTATTCCTTCCTCTCCTCCTGTAGTGAAGTCTGCTGCTGCTGCTGCTGCTGGTTTGAATGTGACTGTCGATATTGAGGTAAGAATTTAACCGTCATCGTTCAAACTACCTCTTTTAACCTAAGCCCTGGATAAACATGTAGACACATTGGAGTTAGAAAATAAAATGTTCCCCACCTGTGCATGTACGGCAAGAACAGGGTTAGGGTTTGGTTTTCATAAACTCAATACTTAGGCAGTGACAGTGTTGATACACAAGAATAATTTACCTGAATGTTTTCAGTTTATGGGCTTTTTCTCTGCTGGGTTGTTGTTTGCTAAGAACACTTTTCTTAATCTTTTCAGAGCTCTGTACTGGGCACACCTGTAGGAAAAGGTGGTAATCCCAATGTAACCGTGGATATTGAGGTGAATTTAATGATGCATTTTTGGGGCACTTTGATTTCCATAGTAAAACATGATGGAAATACTTTGTCAGAATATAATCTCCTAATGTGTGTCTTATTGTCTTTTTGCAGCGATCGCCACAGTCGTACTCCATCACTCCAAAGGGCAGCAACAAAAATCTGGTGTCCAAAAATCCAGAGGATTATGGGATGGACCAAAACAGTGACGACTCTACTGATGATGAGACTGCCCCAAAGAAAATTGGGGGATTGGGGGGGGCTGCCTGGGATACATGTGCACATGCAAATGTTTATAACAATCTCTGCGGAAATAATGTATATTGACTTACATAAAATGAAAATGCAGTCAAAATTCTGTCTAGTTTTTCACATGCTACCTTTTGGATGTTTGATAAAGTTGTTTAATTCTGTTAGATTTGAATTGAATCTCATTCGCTATATTTGGCTCATCAGAATAAAATACTACTAGCGTAGCTCTCAGATGTTCTCAGTATGTTAGTATTGATACAGTAGCATTCATTTTGGTGTTCTTTGGCCTACCTGAAGGTAAAAGAACATCAGATATTTGTTGCTTACCATTGTTTGGTAACTGTGGAAAGCTTCCTAAGGGAGAAGTTTTCTCAACATGTAATTTCCTAAATAATTTAGGATTCATGAACTAAGCAAATAACTGAAAAAGTATAATAAATGCGCAGAATGTAAAAAAAAAAAAAAAAAAGTCTGTTAGCTAGAATCTGAAGATTACTTGTGTGCTTTGAGTTTAGCGTGGAGCCACAATTGCTAATGTGTAACACATACAAGTGAGAAGGGGAGATATAAAGTACAATCAGGTAGTCAAAGTAAAAGCAACTCGACATGAAATAAATCTTATGTTGTGTAGCCATAAGTGACAGTGTTTACATTTTCCCCGTTCCAGGTCCCAATCTGCAGCAGATAATTATGAAGCAGTACTTCAACCCTCCAGATTTGGACTCTTTCTTTGGAGTGGTTGAACCACCAAGACTGGAAAGCATCTTCTACAAGAGCAAGCCTCACTATTTTAAAGGCACCAGTTCTGCTGTGTGGCACTCGCCTCCAGCTGGAACCAAGTAATATCTGTGCACTGATGGAGATACTGCTGTGTAAAGTTTAAGTTTTGTTTTTAATGTTAGATTTCAATAAAAACTGTTTTCTGAATAGTTTTTAGCGAGATCTAATTACTATTGTGTCAATTATGGATGTTTGTGATATGGCTGTGTGTTGTAGAATAACCCTGTGGGATCTGAACATTTGTCTTTGCCAGATGTGCTGATAGACATCCTTGGTTTTGAAATGGGCCCCATTGCCATAACGTGCTAGGCCTTTTTATGGCAGACAGTTGACATGTCCTTGCAGGAAAAACAGGCGGAACAAACAACATTAATCAGTTCATTCCTGACGACAAGACAGCATACATACCAATACCAGTATGTGGTCATGAAAAGTGCTACTGTTAACATTTCTACTGTTTATGGCATGCCAAGCTGTCTGCTTTATGAAAGGTCCCTTCTTTAAATGATTTTGGGTCACATAGCACCCCATGAGCATAATGACTTTATATGTGAATTTCTGTTCAAATAAATTATCTAAAAAAAAAAAAAAAAACAGGTTGGTCATTTACCAGGATGGAATGTAAACATGCAAGAACTCAAAAACTGAAATCTGAACATCTGTAATTAACAGGATAAACATCAGATGCTGAGCAACATCTGCTTCACCATGTGACTGACTTTTCCAGGATGCTCTCTGATGGTTTTCATTAGTAGAGTATTTTTGATGGTTGTCACTACATCCAATGATTCATAAGAAATACCCTGATAATAGCAGATTCGGCGTAAACTGCTTCAGAAATGTAAACAAGTGTAGGCAAAAAAAGACAAGTGGTTTCTAAACTTATCGGCCGCTTTACTGTCAGTCAAATCTGGCAACCCCCAGTCGCTAATGTTAGTTTGGGTATCTGTTATTTATACGGGCAGGGCGCATTAACATTAGCTGGTGTTTTTAACTTCTCTCGTTTGACGTTTTTCGTGGTAAATATCGGATTGCTACACAACCACTTCAGTGGAAAGTTGGATCCCGAAAAAACATCACAGGTACGTTTGTGTTCCAGTTTGATGCTCGACCTTGTAGCTCCTGGGGTGCATGAAGGGATGGTTTGCGACATCGGTTGCTAACATTGTCACGTTGGGGACTGTAATGTTACTTGTAATTAGTTAATAGAAGTGCCCCACAAGCTATTATGTCAAGGTCAGTGTTATCAGTCAGTACCTAATGCCTCTACTGCCCCTTTTTGTCTTTGGCTACCATGTTAGCAAGCCTTGTCATTTATCTGCCCACCTTGACCTGACGTTTGTCATCATTAGCAGGCAAACCCGGCTAGGTTATCGTTTTGTATAAGATGCACTTGGACACATAAGGGTATCAGTGGTTTAGATCATTTATCTCAAGACATATTGGTATAAAGGGTTGTCATGAGGTGGAAGTCTGGATCCTAATGCAGAAGCACTTAAATCAGGATAATTCACAAAACTAGTAGATTGTTTAGCAGCAACTTCATTGTTGTAAAGTACAATTATCTAAAACTGTGTGTTGTCTGTGTTTATCTTCTGGAAATCCACTGATTAAATTTAGCAGGAGTTTCAGTGATGTCAGGTGGCGGTGGCAGAGATGATGGAGGGGTATCATCAGCCACTAGCTGACTTCAATTCAGGGCTTTAGTTTGTAGTTGTCTAAGGTTTTTATGTATATTCTTGCATAATGTGCCTACCGGATTATATACTGCCTTATATTTGACCTGAAGTGTCACGGAAATGTGTTCACCCATTCATTCATGGTTGCTGTCTTTACAGAAATGAGTTCACAAATCCGACAAAACCTCCACCCTGACTGCGAGGCTGCAATTAACACACAGCTCAACCTGGAGCTGTATGCCTCTTATATTTATCTCTCAATGGTAAGAAATGCTTTCAAGCCAGCACTGCACTGTGTATATTTTAATGCTCAATCATGGATCATAGCTCCATGCTGTTTGTCTTATTGTGTTTGTCCCCCTGATTTTAGGCATACTATTTTGATAGGGATGATAAATCCCTGCCAAATTTTGCAGAGTTTTTTCGCAGACAGTCCAAAGAAGAGTGTGAGTATGCAGAGAAGCTGATGAGTCTGCAGAACCAGAGGGGAGGCAGGATTTTCTTATAGGACATCATGGTATTCAAGCATGCATCCACTAATGAATTCATTGTTAGATTTCACGCTGGTCTTCTTTTCTGGTGGGGCAGTAAACTGGATTAATTATATTTTCTTCTGTAGTAGTAGTTTTTATTAAATGTATTTTTTGGGGGGGGTGGGTTATATCACTGTTGTAAATTATTTATGTCTATCATAGAAACCTGATAGGGATGAGTGGGGGAGTGGCCTGGAGGCTTTGGAGTGCGCCCTGCAGCTGGAGAAAAGTGTAAACCAATCCCTGCTGGACCTGCAGAAAATGGCGACTGAACACAGCGATCCTCATGTAAGCAGTGGACCTGGAGAACATGTTTGTTCCTGCCATTTAGAGGATCTGAAAGTCCAACATGCAACATTTTGTCCTTTGTTTTCTACAGATGTGTAAATTCATAGAAATATATTTTCTGGATGAGCAGGTGAAATCTATCAAACAACTTGCTGACTGGATGTCCAACCTGCGCCACATGGGAGCCCCTCAGAGTGGCATGGCTGAGTACCTCTTTGACAGGCATACTTTGGCGGAAGAAGACAGTTAAACTCTGCTGTGACTCTGATCACACTGCTCACCTTGTGCATGCCAGCCTGCCCCTGCCCCTGACATGTACTGCATAAGTATGCAAAAGCCATACATAGCTCTCTAACCTTGACAACTGCAGACCTCTCTCCAAACTGCATTCCATATTAATAATGACTGCAAGATGTGTAGAAATAAGCTGAGATTAACTCAGTGTTTGTAACATATACCTTATATTTGTGTCTAGGGCTCCAGATAACTAATCAATTTCAGATAAAACATAGATCAATACGTGTTTGTGTGAAATCACTTGAAAACAATGTGGTACAAAAACAGTGTGGCACACCTCTTCTCAGTTCTCCTCCCTTCCTCCTGTTGTCTTGTTCCCCACACTTTCCACCAAAACACCCAGCAGGTCCCATTCAGCCAATGAGATTCCTGAATCATTGGGAGAGTTTTGTTTGCTGGCGTCTTGCTGGGACAAAGCTAATGTGGAAACTGAAGTCATGTTATTGCTTTGCCTACTGTTGGTGCTCCCATTGCTTGCTCTCATGTTGTTGAAGTTTCCATGGTTGCTAAAACTACTGACTTGTACCGTTGCATAGGTTTCCTGGTGTGCCTGCGCTGTTAGTGCTTGTTGCATTAATGCTGCTAGAGCTGTTGTTGGGATTAATAGAATTTGCTGTGGATGTGTAGGAGGGAGGAGTGAATGAGAATACCCTTTCTCCTCCACTTCCTGTCACCTGAGCACTTGGGGGTCCGGGCTGGCTGTCAGCTGAGGGGAGGTTGTCCAGAGTAAGGTGAGGAGGTGGAGGGCGGCGAGACAGCAGGCCGTGTCCTGGTCTGAGTTTAGATATCGGGCAGAGTTCAGGTGGAGGATCAGGGAAGGAGAATGTAGGAGAACTATGCATTTCACCATCCTGACTCAGCCAGGGGAAAGCAGAGGACGGTGGTGGGGGTACGTGGTTGGGGGTGTCAGGGGGCGGCAGCGGTGATCCCACCATTGGAGGTGCGAGGGAGCTGCAGCTGCGATTCCACTCATTTTGGGTTTTTCGGTGGGGGCGAGGACGAGGCACCGCAGGAGGCACGCAGTGGATGGGTGTTTGTGGGCAGCTGTAGAAACCTGGCCTCTCATACAAGGGAGTGGTGGAGAAGGCATAGTCTGGATCCTGCTCCTGGTTCAAAGGCTGGCAGGCTTGACTCAGACTTGATGGACCCTCTGAGTGTAGGTAAAGAGGGAAGCGGCTTAGTGGAGCTCCAGGGCGGCGGCGTAGCAGAGAGACTCTGGAGGAACGAGGAAAGTTTGGGGACTGGACACCAAGAAGACGACCCAGTCCTCCAAGCAACGGTGTGGAGTAGTTGGCTTCCTCATTTTCTTTGATCTGCTCAAGGTTTGACTGAAACTCCATCTCCTCCTTAGGAACACTGGTTGAGATAAAGTAGAGGATCAACCAAGTGGTGGGCAGAGTATTCAAGAATGATCTGTCAGGTAATGAAAACCTAATGAACCTGATATCCAGTGCTGAGCCCATGAAGGAGGGCTTACGATGTTCAGCGCTGGCAGCAGTGTAGGGAGGCTGAGGTTCAGACTGATTCCAGTACATATCCTTCTCAACCAAGGGCAGGCTGTCATACATCTCATCCACAGACAACAAGGACACCTGTGATACCATGAAAACCACAGAAAGTAGAACAAGGCAGAGGGCAACAAATAGCAGCTAGTTTGGTGTAAATCCACACCTGCAAATTGCGATCAACAAGCCAGTTCGTTTCAAAGTCATCGTCATCTTCGCCAAAGGGATTTATGAGTTGCTCAGCTACCTGAGGTCATGAAAACAAATGGCCACAACAATAAAGCTCAGAAGTGGGACAAATGACTGAAATTTCTATGGCTGGATCACACAAACAATCGTTTCATTACCTTCAGCCAACCAACATAGAAGAAAAACTGCAACAGGGTGAACACAGGCAGGTAGAAGTCCAGATCATGACCAGGGTAGCCCTGAGCTGGATCCAAGAACTGGCGACCAATCAAACAAGCCAGGAAGAAGCTGTAGACTGCCACTGTTGCCACCTAATTAAAAGACATCAGTCACTGGCAGAAAAAGTGTTACAAATACAAGTATTTAAGAGTTTGTTTGTTTTTTTTGCTCTTTTCTGCCAATCAAATGCTCTATTGCTAGGTCAAGATTTTTAATTTTGATTTATATGTAATAATTTCAGGTAAGTGATTATTATTCTAAGAACACATTATTCTACTATACTGTATCTCAGTTAGAGCACACAGTATCAACCACACCTGAGTATAGACAAGAGGGAGACTGATCCAGTCATAACCATACAGCTTCATACACCTTGCCCGCAAACTATTCAATTCCTGAACAGAGAAAAATGCAGAACATGCAAAGCCAATTTTTTAAAAAATTCCAATATCAGTATGTTCAGGTTCCTTAGGCCTGTAGACAAACAAATGAAGACCTACAGTGAGAATGACTGAGAGTGCCACGTCGTTATTGATGCGACCCTCCATGCGGGCTCTCAGAGCCAGACTGACAAACCACATGCAGGGTACCCAGAACTTGTTATGAGGAGAGGGCAAGTCCTCCAAGTGCCTCAACTCCTCTGATGTCATCAAACCTGCAGGACAAACATTGTGGGGATGAACATAGCCAAAATTATACAAAGAGAGAAAGCATTTAACAATTGTTTCTAAGGGCTCTTTCAGACTCTATACAGCCACAAATACTTCCAGCTATGCAAGGAGGGTTTGGCGTGTACTTGTGTAGCAAAATGTGTCGTCCAAAAGTTTGTAAGGCAACATAAGCGCAGGTGTTAACATGTTTCTGATAGGGGCATTAATGCAAATATTGTACTCTCACTCTACTATGATAGAAGAAGAACTGTTTGCAGTTTCATTTATACTAGATAAATCAGGAGACCTGATTAGGACCATGAGCCAGTGACTCTTGCCCCCTGTTAGGTGAGCAGTGTATCATCTGCCAAGACGTAGGACAGCCACTGCTTATGTACATAAATACTTGTGTGACCCTTGCATTTACTGTGTTTAAATAGTTTGCTAGTCTGAAACAGCCCTATGTTTTCAGTAACTCAGCTGTAACTTGACCATGTATGAATGCTATGTACTAAACGGTTAAACCACATCAGAAGGAGACACAGAGTCTCAACCTATGCCAGTCTCCAAGAGCATCTCTCAGCATCACGTCGGCTTCTTCAAGGCTTTAAAATAGTCCAAACACATCAAGTAGCTTTGGTCATGGTTATGTTGTATGTGATAAGACTGGCAAGTCGAAGACCAGTGAGTTTTGGTGGTTTCATCACCACATCGTACCTGCCTGCACCAGGTGCTCCATGGTGGGAAACCTTTTGTAGACAGCTGTGCTGACTGAGCGGTAGATAAGTATGCCAGACAGGTTGGCGTATCGCATCAGAGTTCGCCGGGTCAGCCTGGAGGCCTCGTCAGCTCCACGAACATGACCACCCACTAATGCTGCCAGGCGGTCCGGCCAGGGTACATTCTCAAACTGGCCCCACCAACGAGACACGACCAAGGTGACATAGAAACCTGACAGAATTGAAGTAGAGGCTGCCTGCAGTGATGGGTTCTATGAATTTATGCATGATTAAAAGTAAAATTTAAGTTAGAGGTGGTTCATGTAAATGATGGAGGGACAGGGTGATTGAACTCCTTAGAAGGAGTGAAACAGTTACCCTAACTTACCCAGCACAAACGACACGGGGATGAGCTCTGCATAGCGGTCACAGTATATGGACAGCTTCTCAAACAGCCTCTTCTGGGTGTCATTCAACACAAACCTGTTAAAGGACACATCTGGTGAGCCTCCTCTGTTAGTCTGCATCTTAAATGCACTGAGAAGGTCTCTGTGTCAAGAACTAAGACCACTCTTTCTAGTCTTACTTTCTAGTCAGTCCTGCTCAAAAACCTTTAGAAGCCAATATCTCTGGGTCACAGGAGGCTTCGATAGCACCTCTCCACATTAAGACAAGTTTTAAAGCATATTTCTACAACAAAAATATTTGAAAAAGTTACATACTGTAGCTTTAATGCTGCCACCATGACAAAAAATATTTGCTCAGATTCCTCTTTTAACTTGAAAGGGTTCATGTTTATACACAATCCTTTTCACGATATAACAATTAATTTTTTTATATTATGATGCATTTTCTTGCCGTTTCAACATACTAAATTATACAGTTTTACAAGAAATGATTCTATGATTATATCTTTAAAAATTATTTATTGTTATAACATTAGTATGTTGGCACAACAAGAAACATCCATATGCTGTGAAAAATAAAAAGGTCCAGTCTTGTTAAAACAATTTTGGATGCTGTGATAATGTGAAGTCCTTATAATGTGAAAAATATCTTGCTATAATGCAACAGGAAATTTGTTAACATGATTTTTAATGTATGCAGTTTTACTATTCTGTATAAACTTATTTCTCTTATTTCTTGGGGCAAAACCAAAAGTGACAGTGTACAGTCTGTAAACTATGGATCCTCTAAAACGCCCTCAAAGACCTCCGATGGTCCTCAGATTCTTCTTTGAGCACCAAAGCTTTGAAACCTATGTTTGTTGCACATAAATACTCTTAATGACACTACTGGAGCTGATCATTTTTACCTGTACAGTATCAATTGATATTGGCTTATCAAAGCTATATCCTATTAGTCCTTAATTAATTTATCCTATTATTAGTGTAAATGTTGTTCACTAGAGATTATTTAAAAGTTTGTTTTTTTTTTTCAACTGTAGAATTTCTTTGTTAGGGTCTATCTTGGTCACAGTTTCCAGTAATCTAAATCTTTTTAAATATAAATATAAAATATATTTCTGAAATAAATGATAATAAAATATATACTGAATCAAAAATCCAGTACAGGTCAGAGCATAGTTACAAGTTCTGCAGACTGGAGGACATGAAACATGACAAAGTTCAGGGTGCTTTCTTTTAGGTGAGTACCTATAAAGAATACTGAAGAAGTAGTACAGTAGAGTGAAGATGACCAGTTCTCTGTAGAGGAGTTTGTAGATGCTACCCCTCCATCGAAGGAGCAGGTGAAAGAAGGTTCCCAGACCTGCATCAGCAACCCGGCGGGAGTACGTTATTGTCATTGCTGTTGCTTGCTGCCCAACCTGCTGGCTGACTGTGGCCTGACATGAAGGAAACCACTGTGGTGGAGTACTCTGTGCTCTGTCTGAGCTCAACGTCAGAAGCTGACCCAAATCTCATAAGGCCGGTGTTGTCATATATCTAAAATGATACAATAAAATAAAAATGGCTCCGCTTAGTTTATTACTTTGTCCAAGTTTGGATTTATATGCCTCTATTGTGTTGAGATTCTGTACAGAGGAGAGTTTCATTATCTCAGTTTAACATTGTGAACACATAAAATAATCATTAAAAATTATTTTCCTTGGCTTATAGATCTAAAATACGCCACCACATCTAAAGAAATGCAGAACTACAACAGGAAAAACAACATTTGAGGGTCACAAAAGGTCTAGTCTACTTGTGAAAAAAGACTGAAGTTGTGGCTACTTACCACTAAATAGAAAACATCTGCTCATCATGCTCATCAACTTGCTGTGGGTCAGGATGTGTGACGGCAGGGTCCACGGAGAATGCTGCAGAAATGAAAGCAAGGAAGAAAAGAGAGCAAGGGACTCCTACACCTCTGGTCACTTGATGTATTAATCTGTTTCAGCAACAAAGCTGCATTGTGAGGCCAGCTCCTGTTAATCTGAACAAATCTGAGGAGAGCAGAGCAGCCACACTGCCACAAATGGGTTGATTAAAGGTATGGAGGCTGAGCAGTTGTGTTGAGAGTTTGGGACGACTATAAAACCAAATGTCAGCAACATGTCTAAGATGTTCTTCAAAGTTAAACACATGCCTCATTTGTCTCTCCTTCTTGCAGACACTTCTGAACATAGCCTACTCTGGATTTCAGTAAACTTGATAATTTTTCTTTTGAAATATTTGCTCATGGAAAAACCTTTGATCAGCTGTGATTGTGTGCGACCCCCCTCTGCTGGAAGAATTGTGTGCAGCTGAAAGAAGGTGTTAGTGATTAACCTTTTCCTGTCTAACCAGGAGACCAACAGCAGGAGAGTTTCCGACAGAGTACAACTGGTAAAACTCTGATTATCAAAGTGCTGTTTCTGCAGTTTTTACAGGCTTGTAATGCACTGGCAACAAGTGGGAATCAGTACTGTCCACTTTGGTGAGTATATTTTATGTATTTTTTCCTCAAATCATTTGTCTGTTGCACTCAACATGTGCACTTGTATTGTACTGATTCTGCTTCCTAACTTGTGTTTAAACTGGATATCTCAAAGAAACCAATTCCTTTAGCATGGCAACCTTCAAAGAAAAGAGGCCGACCTTCTTTATCTCAGCAGAATTCAGAGGGAGGAAGTGTGTGTTTAAACTCGGTGAAGGTCATAACTTGGCCACCAACTACTTCGTGAAACTTCTATGAGGTGTTTAGTTTTGATGTGATTTTATTTTGGAGTAAACATGTATCTTTTCTGCATTTTAGGTTTTGACATCTGCAGACATCAGGGTCATCGTATACCACTAAAAACATTTCAACTGAAGCCTTGGTTGAGACATCTGTAACTTTCTGATGAGGTATGGATGCTTTTGAGGGAATTCACAGTGTCAAGATTTCGTCCTCTCCGCCATCTTCACCTTCATCCAGCCTGGGATATGAAGTCCTCAAGGTGGGGAGATCTGGAATAGCAGTATATTCCTCTACTGTCTTCTATGGGACACGTGATGTGCCGGGACAGCCGGCATCCAAACACAAGGCCAGAGGGGAAAATGAAGAGGAAGGCTGTGCTGTTGGGCAGTAAGTGTTAAATCCTGAAGCAGTGGGGTAAGAAGTTTGATCTATCTGTCTGGAGTAAACATTATTTTATTTCATTTTCTGTTAAAATGACAACTTGTCTTTTGGGTTTGAGCTCCAGACCAGGTTAAGTTCACCCTCTTCACTCAATAGAGGACATTAATCGTGATTAATACATGATGGTTGTGGCACAGCATATGGCGACAGTCCAAAGACACATTAAAGTATTGTGTTCAAATGCTCCACTTTAGACCACCTACAATTGAGACAGTTGTGCAATTTTAAACATTATCTGACAGCAATAACAACAACAAAAAAACCTTCCCAGGTGGACTTGAAAAAATCTAACTTTTGAATGACTTACACGCTGCTCTGTCACAGCATTTGCCCACTGTGAAGAATGTGGCCTATCACAGTGTCAGTGCGCTCGACTGTAATAATTACTATAACATGGTAGCCAGGCGATCAAATCAAATGACTACGTATGTAAACTAACAAACAACAGTCTCTACTTCAACTCCAACACTGCACCATATTATATGTGTATGTAAAGTCATCAGACAAATATAGTAAAGACAGTCCAAAGCAGAAGAACAGAGACAGCACATTCAGTGTTTTCAGTCTGCAGGCCCACTGCTGGGTCGGATCAGGACTTGTTTTGATTGTATTGTTTACCTATATTAGAGAATCAAGTAGAGAGCTGACAGGAAATGAGCAAAGAGAGATTTGGGATGAGTGTAACACAGGTCCCTGGGCAAACTCAAACCAGGGACTCTGAAAGTAAATGGTCAGCGTTACCAACATTTTAAGGTGTCTAAAGTGTATTTATGAAGAGAGGTTATAAATCACTGTGGTTTGTACTTCTATTCTTTGTGTGATTTGTAGAGTCTAATGATGATAATTTGTTCACCCACAGACTATTATTTCAATATAAACACAAAATATAGACAAACTTTTGAATGATCTGCAAATATGCGCAGAACAGCTACAAAGAGAGCCAAAACCAGAGATATGACTACATAAATATTCAAAACAACTAAAAATAGACACAAAACAAGTGCAAAATGGATACAAGTAAGTAAGTAACAAAAAGACGCTAAATGAGTAAAAACTGACACAGAGTGGCTTGAGAAAATGCAAAGCTACAAAGGGACACAAAACAACCACAGAAGACACAAACAAATCCCAGGTCGCCCAGTCTGTAAGTCTCACACCCGGGCACTGGGTGTTTGAACGGCTCCGGACAGGACTTCTCGTTGGGAGTGGATACGCTGTTATGTGACCGGAGAAACGGGGAGAAACCGAGAGGAGACAGACGAATATTAGTGAGAGATATGGATGAAAAGTGTAAACCAAGTAATCGTTGGACATCTTAACTTGGTCGTTCTGTGTGTTTGTGGCCGCTGTTGTTATTATTGTTGTTGTCGGTTGTTACGTCAGCATCCGCATTCCTCCGTCGACCGTGATTTAAAACCGCTTAGTGAGTTTCAGTGAAACCAGCTAGCGTTCGCTCACTCTGTGTACAAGATTTATTAACTTAACAACGACCGAAGGACACTGCAGGGCACAGGCTGAGAAATACGCGGACAGAGCAAGAGGTTTTGACAGGGTAAGGGTGGCTGATACTGAGGGGAAACCTCTGTAACAGTTACCAAAAAGTTGTAACTTCATGTTAGCTAACCTCAACTAGCTGTCTGAAAGCCGACTTTACTTGCTAACATTAGCTGCTGGTACATGGCGGATTTGAGCATGAAATTTAGAACTTGGCGACAAAATTAGCCGTGACTAACAATGTCGGCTTTGCTGGATTTAATCAAAATGAAATTTTAGGTTTGCTGAAGCATTAGCAGAGGTTCTCAAACTGTGGTCCGGGGTCGCTCAGAGGTCTGTAACTGTGAAGTCACTCACCAAAGAAGATAAGAGATAAGATAAAATAAATCCTTTATTGTCAGAAGAAGGTGCCTAATATTAGAGCTGGGTTACTTACTAGATGATATTTTGGTGTTTTGTAAACTGATGATAAGCAAATAATGTTTGAAAACCGAGAAGTCTGTTCCAGTATAAATATTCTTTATTTCAGCCTAATGTTCATTTAACAGATTTTGCATCATAATCCTTTTGTTAGCCCAATAAATTACACACTGTTGCCAGTTTATTAAGTACACCTAGATTAAACTAACGCAGTCTAATCCAGCAGTCCTAGAATAAATCATCCTCCATAAAGGTGGTAATGTTCAGTTTTCATTGAAACTCTTTAGAGAGATGTTGATGATCGTATTTGTAGTGCTGTTGAATTGTACCCTCTTATACTGACTTATTTTGACCGCCTTTCTTTGTATTTGTGAGGCTAGGCTAAATAACAGAAACACCTCTCTGTACAACACAATGCACAAACTTCAGCCTCCAAATGATCAGACAGTTTGATCGACGCCTCTCTGAAAAAGTTTTAACAAACCTGAGCATTATCATCTTCATGAACTTCTGGATTAGTTTTAGCTAGGCGTCCCTAATAAACTGACTGTATCTCTTAGGTAGAATGAGGCATAGAGGTTTCATGTGCATCATTAAGGTCACTTGATGTGGATCTGTTTGTGAATCCTTGACATGGAAATATCGAGGGAACCTCTGTGTTGTATCCTAAACCTGTAGGCTGTTGCAATCTAATGCATTGTACCAAAGTTATCCTAATTATTGAAGCAGTACTATCCTAAACTGTCTTTACTGCAGTCATGTTTAATGTGTCAAAATGAAATCTCTGTGTCCTGTGAAATAACCGTGTTTTTTTGTTGTTGTTTGTGGTCTGGATTAGGTTGGTAGATCTGGATCCAGAGCCAGAGTGCAGAGTGGAAGGAGGCCACACTGGGCCCACCTCAGGCAAAGCTCATGGCGTCCTTTCCCGGCTTCGCAGCTCCTCACTGGAAATCAAAGAAAAAGAAATCAGAGAAAAGGGTTCAGAAATCCTGAGGGAACAGCTGGATGCTGCAAAGAGGGTGATGCAACCTATGTCGTGCTAACACATTGAGACACACAAAGCTGACAATGCAAATGCACTTCCTTGTTAAATGTGGATGTGATCTGTTCTACATAACTCAGGAACTGAAACTAAAAGACAAGGAGTGTGAGCGTCTGTGCCGGGTCAGGAATCAGCTGGAGCAGGAACTGGAGGAGCTGACTGCTAGTCTGTTTGAGGTGAGCAGTAATCATTTTGACATGTGCCTCAGAGGTAAGGGGTTAGATGCTCCTAACATTTACAAGTTGCTCTGTAATAAAAAAAAAAAGCATTAAATGCATGTGTGACACACGTAATACTTTCATTTTTTAAAACCTGCATCATTTAATAACTTTGATTTAATTTCACCTTATAAATTGACATGGTAACAAACATCAGTTTGCCAACAGTTTCCTATTTGCACAAAACATTTCAGTAATTTTCTCAGGCATATTTTGGCAAACTGGTGTTCCCCAGCCCATTTTTACTCCTGAAGGGCCAGGCCTTTCCTGGATGCCACTTTTGTACCAAATCATACTATCACCTGTTGACATCACCTGCTTCAAATGGAATCATCATTTCGTTGTTTTTGCCTCATTACTGGCCCTGAAAAGCAACCGTCCCAACTTTTTGTGGGATTTGTTGAAACACCAGAATTGTTGTGTGTGTTTATTTTGAACAAATAATAACATTTTTGAGGTATCGTATCAACTAATGTGCTGCCACATTGTTTTTAATGTAATACAAAACACAGATGATTTACAAATCACTATTTTCAGTTTTAATTTTTTACTTTTTACATACTCTACCAACTTTTTCTGATCTGGAGTTGTAGACAGATAGCAGATATCTTCAACTTAGAGTGTTTTAAGCCTCTGTTCATATAATTTGCCTCAACAGGAAGCTCACAAGATGGTGAATGAAGCTAATGTGAAACACGCAGCAGCAGAGAAACAACTGAAGGAGGCTCAAGGGAAGGTGTGTGAGTGTTTCTCTATTGCAGCTGAAACTTTCTGTCCATTGAAATTCTTTAACAGCTCCTGAGCTAATTTTGAATCCACCTCTGATTTGTCTTAAAATAGGCTGCTATTCCAAGCAGGTTTGTTTAGATACATTTTAACAAGAAAAGGACAAAGGACATTTATTTTACATCACTGATTTATGTCCTGTCATCAGATGACACTTTCTTGAACAATTGTACTGTCTCTGTTTCTGGCTCCCAGGCTGACGTTCTGCAAGCAGAGGTGACGGCCCTTAAAACTCTGGTGTTGACATCCACACCATCTTCACCAAACAGACAGCTGCATCCACAGCTGCAGTCTTCAGGAACCAAGGGAGCATATAAGCATGTTGGGGGACACATCCGCAACAAGAGCATGAGCGGCACCTTGTCATTCCTGCCTGGAAAACCTGAACCTTTGTCAGCTTCTGTTCAGCCTGTGACCACAGAGGACAGAGAGGTAGCCTGAACTGAATTTTGTACATTTGTCTCTCTTCTCCTTAAAATATATTTCTGCTACTTTTGACTTGTGCATTCTGTTTTCCTATCACGTATTCTTGCCTTGAGCCACATCATCTTTGCTTTTTAATGGTGCTTTTATCTCTCTAATCTCTGCCTGACTCCTTCCTCTCTGCCTCTGGTATGTGTTCCTCTCTCAGCCTGCTGTTCCTACTCTCTTCTCTCTGATTCTCTGCCTGGTTCCTGGACACCCTGTCAGTGTGACCTATGACTCTTATTGGCAGGAGCAAGGAGAGGGGATAGACTCTGACAACAGATGGGTAACTGCATACCTTCAATCAGGCTTCATAGAGTTCCAGGTTTAGCTGCTGGATCTGTTTGAATTAATTCATTGTTTACGGGACAACAAGCTACTTTTTCCTTGGCAGTAATGCACTGTAACTGAAGTGTACTGTCGGTGCTTGTCTGAGAACATCATTTTCTAGCTCAAGTTCTTGGCCAGAAAACCAAAATAAATGTCTGCTTCTGTTTTCAGTGTGACACTGAGATGGATGTGGGCCTGATATTTTCAGTATATTTTAATCACAGATCTCTAGTTAAGATGGTAATGTTTATACTGGTCTTTCATCTCTGAGTGAAATGTAGTGTTTGTGGTTGCCAGTCAGTGTCAGGCTCAAAGAGCCCTTCATTTTAGATTGTTTATTCCAGAAATTGGATCAATTGTGGTTGTGCTCTTTAAACAGCTGTATATAATTAGGTCAGAATTTTAATTATGAGTATATTCAGGCTGTAGACAGGTAAAAGCTACTAATAATGTGTAATTTCTGCCAAATGCAGGTACAGTATGAACAGTAAACCCATAGCCTGCTAATGCCTCTATCATTAGCTAAATTATGAACTCTGCTCTCTGTAGGTTATATTTTAGACATGGTACTGCCATTGTTGCAGTGATGGCTAGGCAGGCAGCATGTGGCTTTGTTGGTCTACCACTTTAACTTTATGACCAGCTTCAATCTCTGATCCTCCTGAGAGTTTCTCTTCCAGTGGCTCAGGAGGGTAGCGTGGGTCATCCCCTAAAGGCGGTTAGCTGTTTGATCCCCGACTCCTCCGTCCTGTCTCTTTGAGCAAGGCTCTTAAGCACAGGTTGCTCTGGGTGTGTAGGCTAGCTTTGGTAGGCATTGGTGTGTGTGTGTGAAGGAGAGGCAAGTTGTAAAGCACTTGTGTGTTAAGGTAGAAAAGTGCTATGAGCTGTAATAACTTTGGTGATCCCTTACCTTTTCCTTTAGCACCATCATCATGTCAAAAGTTCAGTTTGTCCAGTACTTTGGTTCTTGACCATATTATACCTGATAGAGTGAGTGACAGATTGTTTTCTCTCTACAGATGGATTCAGTTCTGTATGCAGAGTTTTTGATGTGGAAGGAACATCCAATTCTAGATCGCTCGTCTGCCTTCCTGACTCGTATCTACAGAGAAGACATCGAACCCTGCCTCTCTTTCACAAGATCTGAGGTCACAGTCTCACTGCATCTTTGCACAGCTGCTACATCACTGCAGTTGTTGCCTGAAGTTATGCTAACATTACTGATTCTTTCCTAGTTGTCCCAGCTGGTGCAAAGTGCAGTGGAAAACAACTCCCTGACTATTGAGCCTGTGGCCACGTCAGCATTACCAACAGTTAAAGCCTCAGCTTTGGAGTGTGGAGGCCCTATGTGAGTAGCCATACTCCCTTCTACTCTTTTATCAACCAACCACTGTGGTTATGTCAATGCTGATAGCGCACTCTTATGTGGTTTCTCCGCTGAGTTACTGTCCTACCTGGAGGCTTTTCAGTTTCACCATGAATCTGAGAGGGTCATAATCAGCAGGCACAATTCTAATCACAGATGTAAATTTTTGTTTTTCCAGTGGCTTTAGGGCAGCAATAGAGACGTAAGTCCACCCAAGAATTAATCACCTGTTCAGTGTTTCACTAACACAAATTACCTCCCAGATGTCTGCGAAGTTGTAAACAAATCTATAAATACATATCCCAGATGGGGTTGTGCATGCGGCTGCGTGTACATTAATGCAACCATGAAGCTGTCTCTTCTAGTGACTAACTTTCTCTGATTGTCCAGTTTTTTTGCAGTTTGTCTGCTAAAACATAATTCCAACTGCAGTGTGTTCTCTTTTGTAGTGTTTTAAGTCTTGGTTTTATTGTTGATACCTTCAGAAATTTAACTCGTGTTCACCGTTTGCTATGATAAAACAATGGCGTGTGTCCACGTGATGTAGTTGTTTTTTGTTTTTTTTTTAATTAGCTGATCTTCTATGCTTGTAGAAAATGTGCTTTAAGTGGCATGTCGCAGCTTTGCCAACATCGCATTAAACTTGGTGACAAGGAGAACTACTATTACATCTCTCCCTCCAGCCGAGCAAGGGTAGCTATTATTTTCTCTCGAACGTTTATTAGACACACTTCTGTTACTGCTGTGATGTTGCTACATGCGACCTTATCCTCATTTCACCTTTCTAGATCACAGCAGTTTGCAATTTTACTTCTTATATCCGCTACATCCAGCAGGGCCTGGTGAGACAAAATGGTAAGTCAACACTGTTTACATTTAAAATATGTAGTTGTTTGTGGCATGGGTCTGTTTTGTTTACTTGCTTTGCCAGTGTGGGTTTTAATGGGCCAACTAATGTTCTGTATGTTTAGCTGTTGTCGTCTCTTTGCCCTTGTCCAGCGGAACAGATGTTCTGGGAGGTGATGCGTCTCCGCAGGGAGATGGCTGTGGCCAAGTTGGGTTTCTACCTCACAGACCAGGGTTAGAGGACCTGACTGTCCACGGGTACGCTCGACAGGAAAGCACAAGCCCAGGACCTTGATCATTCAGACCGTCAGGGTTACACTGTGGTAACAAACAGGTCTTGGATCACTTTTTATAGCAGAGGTTGTACAACATTAGTGCTGCAGCAAAGACCAATGAACAAGGGAACAAGAAAATAGTGTCACTTTTGGATATGTGATAAGACAAAAGTGAAACCAGTACGGCTAGAGAGAACTAAAAATAAGTTTTAAAGTTTGGATGTTACTCCCAGATAGATAAAATGTATTTTTCTGAATCTGCACAGACATATTTTTCTGTTATACTGCAGGCTTCCAGTAATTATTTCCACTAGTGTTAGGAATGGTTTGTTTTTATCTCCCCGGTGGAGTACACACAATTTCTCATGCCAACACAATAGATTCTATGTATCGCTTTTCAGTCACCAGCTTGTTCAAAAGTTGATCATAACGCAGGACAAAAGCACTCTAGAATGTATTTGTTCTCTTACCTAAGGTATTATATACTTAAAATATTATATATGTAAGATACGTGAGCTTGACATTTTCCATGTAGCTTCCACAGAGCAATGATTTGGGCAGTTTTCTTTACTTCTGCATCAATGTTATGCATGCTAGCATCTCTTAGTTTAAGTTACTGGCTCAAATACTATGACCAAGACTTCTTTGGCTCAGCACACTTGCACGACCCGTTTGAGGACTCGTACTAAACAAATTCCCATTAGCCTGGCCTGTAATAATCAGATAAACTGTTAATTATTGTTACACTGCCACATTCAAAATAGTAACAGCTTTGCAATGTAATCAGAAAATAAACAAGCTTTAATACAAGTAATCACAATATGCACAACTGTTGCAATCTGCCATGGACAGTAATATACTGTATATAAGCCATAAATGACTTTGCATGAATGCAGTACAGAGCTGTATAATGCAGTGTGTATTCGTTATACCTCAGTGAAGATTTGTTACCAATAGTAATCAGTTTTTACAGGCAAGTCTTTTGAAGGTAAAAATAAAGAATACTGTGTCAGAACATGCAATAACAGCTTTTTAGGCATATTTAGGGAATTGAGGTTCCTAACCTCAGTGTACTGATAGTCAGCTGGCTCCCAGTGTAAACTCTCCATTAAAGAGGAGACACTGTAGCCCATCACCTACTGTGTGTGATTTTACACATAGTACAAAGGTGATGTTTCTTGCTCAGAGGGTCTTTGTGCTATGAAAGTCTGTTTTTGGAGCAAACATTCCAGTAAGATTTTAGTTTCTGGATTGAAAAGACTTAAGCTTGTCATTCTGTTGCTTCATCATAGATGTTACAATGGACCTTAATAATGTTCAGCTTGTTGTTAATGAATGAATACAGTCTACTTCAACTCTAAATAGTTAAATACATAGACATTTCAAAAGTCTGCATAATTAACTTAAGTTAGACATATAATTCTAGATGAAGAAAATAAAAATTGAACAAACTTTTACAAATGTTGGTTTAACTTTTCTTTTGGCAACATCTGGCTATGACCAACTCTTCTTTCTTAAAGAAATATCTGCAACAAAGAGACATACATCTGATTATCATTCAGCAAAGAATGAACAGTTTTATTTAGAGTAATTATTTTTCTGACAGGAGTTTGGGCCATTGTAGGTCCTCTAGTCAGTACTGTAGTATTTGAATACAGTAGTTAAATCTTGACCATTGTATATACCAGGGGCTCTCAAACTTAATATTCAAAGGTCTGGAATGATTAGTGATATGGAAATGACTAATTAAACTTGCTTAACTTCCAAGAAACATACATTCACCAGCCACGTCATTCACACCTGTACAAATGTATGTAATTTAATGCAACACGTCCACCTTAACATTTGTGTTTATGAAGCTCAAAATGTTTCAGTTTTTGGTGAAATTGGTTTCCTATAGGTTCCTAATATTCTGACCCTCATGTGCAGTGGGTACGGAAAGTATTCAGACCCCCTTAAATTTTTCACTCTTTGTTATATTGCAGCCATATGCTAAAATCACTTAAGTTCATTTTTTCCTCATTAAATGTACACACAGCACCCCATATTGACAGAAAAACACAGAATTTTTGACATTTTTGCAGATTTATTAAAAAAGAAACTGAAATATCACATGGTCATAAGTATTCAGACCCTTTGCTCAGTATTTAGTAGAAGCACCCTTTTGAGCTAATACAGCCATGAGTCTTTTTGGGAATGATGCAACAAGTTTTTCACACCTGCATTTGGGGATCCTCTGCCATTCCTCCTTGCAGATCCTCTCCAGTGCTGTCAGGTTGGATGGTAAACGTTGGTGGACAGCCATTTTCAGGTCTCTCCAGAGATGCTCAATGGGGTTTAAGTCAGGGCTCTGGCTGGGCCATTCAAGAACAGTCACAGAGTTGTTGTAAAGCCACTCCTTC